ACCCAGCTGACAAAAAACATGGATGGAACATGCTCGATAGCCAGTAGTGGAAGCAGAAAGAGTTGATTAGGTCATTAAGCCCAACGTGCCTATGCCGGCTTTTTAGAAGAGCTATCCAATAAGCCCTGCTCTTTCCCCTGCAATTTTTTCCTTTTCAACTACGTATCCAATTCTCTTTTGAAAGTTGTTATTGAATCTGTTTCCACCAGCCTTTCAGGCAGTGAATTCCGGATGGATATCTCAGTTTGGTTTGGATACTCTTAAACAGTGCATTTTAAAAACAAATGAGATAGATTTCTTTCAGGAAATAATATTTTGGGATACAGTATATAGATTGGCACATGACATGTGCATGCGATTACCAGGATAGTGGAAGGCGAACTGGCTGGACCTTGGTCTTCTTTGGTTTAGCAATTCTTATGTTCTTATGTTTGGTGAATAAAAAACTTCTGGATCTGTGAGATGTAAATGAGTTTCTGATAGATGTATATTTACATCTACAATACATTTTTGATGTTAGCCAGAGCGGTCTGAGATAAATGTGAAAGGACTGATATCTCATGATTTGTCTCTGGTGGGTGTTGGCACCATAAAATGACGTGAGGCTGGCAACAGATTGCCTGATATATGATGGATGCTCCTCAATCGTAGATCAGCAAGTGCTAATTATCTCTGTTTCAACTGTGTTCCCGCTCGGCGAGCTCCGACCTGCTTCACGTCCCCTGCCTCGCCCGCCCCACCATTTGCGGGTGGGCCTTCAGCCCCTCTGCCCCCACTGTCTGGAACTCCATTCAGCTGTCCCTCTGCCTCATCCCCACCGCCTCCTTCAAGACCCTTCTCTTCGACCCTCCTGCTTTCGATTCACCCTCCTTCTCCCCCTGCCCCCACCCTCCCCAATCCCGACCCCTAGCTCAGGTCTGAAATACTGATTGCCCACTGCCTTGATATGTCCTCCCGACGTGAAAGGCACTATACAAATGTAATTTTGTTGTTGTTGTGTGCAACAAGGGCAGTCAATAAATCTGACCGGGAGAGTTGCACAGCCATCAATACCATGATTGTGTGCATTTGCATTAGTAACTAATCATTTGCATTTTTGCTCTCTACCAACTTCGAAAAATGAGAATAAAAGGCCAGAAGATGAGCAGTTCATATGGTCCAAGGCCAAGCAAACATCAGGCAGCCTCTCAAACAAATCCTCACTGAGATCCAGTCGTATCTCACTGTCTAAATTAAAATTACATCAATAGATTCAATACCAGTTATAAGACATGCCTCAGTAGATGTAAGTAAATTAAGGGTCACAGACAAAGCACCAGTGAGTGTGAATCTTCAGTCACAACTGATTATTGGCTCTTTGATTTTCCAGATTGGTTATCATACGATTGAACGCAGCACAGAGGAGGAAGAGGATACAATTAAAACTGTCCACAGCCGGCCCCAACGATCTAGCTGGCTGCGTCTGAGTGCTGTTACACCATTGGTAAATAATGTAAGTCTGGAGATAACTGTTATTTACCATAGACAAGTATAACTGATGATTAGTAGCAATATCCACATGTACCTAATATAATATAACGTGAATGTACCACAATCCACCAGATCACAATAGAGACTCGCATGAAAAGTCCCATTTGATCCCATGCTTTCAGAGTTCCCACCATACCATATTCCCGTTATTGCTTGAAGCTGTTTTGTGAATGAAACCAGTGTTCATTGTAATTGTTAATTACCTTCTGGGTAAAGAAATATTTCCTGATGTCTGACCTGAAATTGCATGTTACTACCTTGAGCACTGGTGCCCTTTTGTTCTGCACCTCTGAAAAGGCATTGTTCACTCAAAGCTCAATAAACAGGAGCATCAAATAGTTTGTGTTGACTATGGAATGATTGGTATTGATGAGCCAAACCGTTTGCTTATTCTGATCTTAAGAGTTTTGAAGCGAAGGGAAGCATGTGACCCTCAGTCAGGCTTTTGCAGCACCATCTGCAGGACACAGACCAAAGAATGCCTGGGTTTACCGTGATCGCAGTTTGTTTTTGTCCCCTGTTAGGAAACATTCAGCCTTATCTTTGTATTTCTGATATTGTGGTCAAGGTGAAGACCTTCCCCTATGAGGAACATTGGAACAAACTTATACAATAGATACAACAAAAGCAGCAGTCTAGAATCTCACATTCAGACAGAGACGTGCGTGATTGATTTGTGAATGAACAAGAGTCTTGGCCTCAACCGACCTTTCTGGTAACTGATTTGCAATTGATCATTTTTATTTGTTCTCACAGGTTAGTATGGATATTTTTGATGGTCAGGATACGACAATATCTGATGAAAAGCAGTCAGACACCACACCCAATGTCTCAGCGAGCCGGATAATTTCCTTGGAGTCTGAGGTAGGTGAACCAATTGCCCTGAATTCCACTCAAAGATCTGCCACGGAGGATGTATCTCCATTAAGTTACAGGCCACAAGCGGTGAGTCTTTGTATCATGACAGATGATTGGAAATTTGCTCTTCCAGACACCGAATAATATTCTAAAGGCAAAGTTCACCGGGATCGAGGAGATGAATGGGAAATGGATGATAAAATGCATTGTTCTATATTAGGTTAAATAATAAGGAATTGTCTGAGATTGTATAAAAAGGCTAGGCTCTTGGGCAATTGGCCCTTAGTAGGGGTTCACACCACAAAATAATAATAATAAATAATAATAAATAATACTTTATTGCCTAGCTTCTTACCATGTCATCGAGATGTCTCAAAGTCCTTCACTGGATATACTATAAAGCGGATTGATTGTATACATAATAATAATAATCCTTGCATTTGATATAGCGTCTTAACATGTGCTCATTCCATTCAATCTACCTCTGGGATTTCATGTGTAGGTGGGATGCATGGAAATCTCAGCTCGGTTAGGATACTCTTAATGATGGTGTACTCTTAATAGGATACTCTTAATGGTGATGAGTTTCCACATGTGTCAGGCACCCAGCTGACAAAAAACATGGATGGAACATGCTCGATAGCCAGTAGTGGAAGCAGAAAGAGTTGATTAGGTCATTAAGCCCAACGTGCCTATGCCGGCTTTTTAGAAGAGCTATCCAATAAGCCCTGCTCTTTCCCCTGCAATTTTTTCCTTTTCAACTACGTATCCAATTCTCTTTTGAAAGTTGTTATTGAATCTGTTTCCACCAGCCTTTCAGGCAGTGAATTCCGGATGGATATCTCAGTTTGGTTTGGATACTCTTAAACAGTGCATTTTAAAAACAAATGAGATAGATTTCTTTCAGGAAATAATATTTTGGGATACAGTATATAGATTGGCACATGACATGTGCATGCGATTACCAGGATAGTGGAAGGCGAACTGGCTGGACCTTGGTCTTCTTTGGTTTAGCAATTCTTATGTTCTTATGTTTGGTGAATAAAAAACTTCTGGGATCTGTGAGATGTAAATGAGTTTCTGATAGATGTATATTTACATCTACAATACATTTTTGATGTTAGCCAGAGCGGTCTGAGATAAATGTGAAAGGACTGATATCTCATGATTTGTCTCTGGTGGGTGTTGGCACCATAAAATGACGTGAGGCTGGCAACAGATTGCCTGATATATGATGGATGCTCCTCAATCGTAGATCAGCAAGTGCTAATTATCTCTGTTTCAACTGTGTTCCCGCTCGGCGAGCTCCGACCTGCTTCACGTCCCCTGCCTCGCCCGCCCCACCATTTGCGGGTGGGCCTTCAGCCCCTCTGCCCCCACTGTCTGGAACTCCATTCAGCTGTCCCTCTGCCTCATCCCCACCGCCTCCTTCAAGACCCTTCTCTTCGACCCTCCTGCTTTCGATTCACCCTCCTTCTCCCCCTGCCCCCACCCTCCCCAATCCCGACCCCTAGCTCAGGTCTGAAATACTGATTGCCCACTGCCTTGATATGTCCTCCCGACGTGAAAGGCACTATACAAATGTAATTTTGTTGTTGTTGTGTGCAACAAGGGCAGTCAATAAATCTGACCGGGAGAGTTGCACAGCCATCAATACCATGATTGTGTGCATTTGCATTAGTAACTAATCATTTGCATTTTTGCTCTCTACCAACTTCGAAAAATGAGAATAAAAGGCCAGAAGATGAGCAGTTCATATGGTCCAAGGCCAAGCAAACATCAGGCAGCCTCTCAAACAAATCCTCACTGAGATCCAGTCGTATCTCACTGTCTAAATTAAAATTACATCAATAGATTCAATACCAGTTATAAGACATGCCTCAGTAGATGTAAGTAAATTAAGGGTCACAGACAAAGCACCAGTGAGTGTGAATCTTCAGTCACAACTGATTATTGGCTCTTTGATTTTCCAGATTGGTTATCATACGATTGAACGCAGCACAGAGGAGGAAGAGGATACAATTAAAACTGTCCACAGCCGGCCCCAACGATCTAGCTGGCTGCGTCTGAGTGCTGTTACACCATTGGTAAATAATGTAAGTCTGGAGATAACTGTTATTTACCATAGACAAGTATAACTGATGATTAGTAGCAATATCCACATGTACCTAATATAATATAACGTGAATGTACCACAATCCACCAGATCACAATAGAGACTCGCATGAAAAGTCCCATTTGATCCCATGCTTTCAGAGTTCCCACCATACCATATTCCCGTTATTGCTTGAAGCTGTTTTGTGAATGAAACCAGTGTTCATTGTAATTGTTAATTACCTTCTGGGTAAAGAAATATTTCCTGATGTCTGACCTGAAATTGCATGTTACTACCTTGAGCACTGGTGCCCCTTTGTTCTGCACCTCTGAAAAGGCATTGTTCACTCAAAGCTCAATAAACAGGAGCATCAAATAGTTTGTGTTGACTATGGAATGATTGGTATTGATGAGCCAAACCGTTTGCTTATTCTGATCTTAAGAGTTTTGAAGCGAAGGGAAGCATGTGACCCTCAGTCAGGCTTTTGCAGCACCATCTGCAGGACACAGACCAAAGAATGCCTGGGTTTACCGTGATCGCAGTTTGTTTTTGTCCCCTGTTAGGAAACATTCAGCCTTATCTTTGTATTTCTGATATTGTGGTCAAGGTGAAGACCTTCCCCTATGAGGAACATTGGAACAAACTTATACAATAGATACAACAAAAGCAGCAGTCTAGAATCTCACATTCAGACAGAGACGTGCGTGATTGATTTGTGAATGAACAGAGTCTTGGCCTCAACCGACCTTTCTGGTAACTGATTTGCAATTGATCATTTTTATTTGTTCTCACAGGTTAGTATGGATATTTTTGATGGTCAGGATACGACAATATCTGATGAAAAGCAGTCAGACACCACACCCAATGTCTCAGCGAGCCGGATAATTTCCTTGGAGTCTGAGGTAGGTGAACCAATTGCCCTGAATTCCACTCAAAGATCTGCCACGGAGGATGTATCTCCATTAAGTTACAGGCCACAAGCGGTGAGTCTTTGTATCATGACAGATGATTGGAAATTTGCTCTTCCAGACACCGAATAATATTCTAAAGGCAAAGTTCACCGGGATCGAGGAGATGAATGGGAAATGGATGATAAAATGCATTGTTCTATATTAGGTTAAATAATAAGGAATTGTCTGAGATTGTATAAAAAGGCTAGGCTCTTGGGCAATTGGCCCTTAGTAGGGGTTCACACCACAAAATAATAATAATAAATAATAATAAATAATACTTTATTGCCTAGCTTCTTACCATGTCATCGAGATGTCTCAAAGTCCTTCACTGGATATACTATAAAGCGGATTGATTGTATACATAATAATAATAATCCTTGCATTTGATATAGCGTCTTAACATGTGCTCATTCCATTCAATCTACCTCTGGGATTTCATGTGTAGGTGGGATGCATGGAAATCTCAGCTCGGTTAGGATACTCTTAATGATGGTGTACTCTTAATAGGATACTCTTAATGGTGATGAGTTTCCACATGTGTCAGGCACCCAGCTGACAAAAAACATGGATGGAACATGCTCGATAGCCAGTAGTGGAAGCAGAAAGAGTTGATTAGGTCATTAAGCCCAACGTGCCTATGCCGGCTTTTTAGAAGAGCTATCCAATAAGCCCTGCTCTTTCCCCTGCAATTTTTTCCTTTTCAACTACGTATCCAATTCTCTTTTGAAAGTTGTTATTGAATCTGTTTCCACCAGCCTTTCAGGCAGTGAATTCCGGATGGATATCTCAGTTTGGTTTGGATACTCTTAAACAGTGCATTTTAAAAACAAATGAGATAGATTTCTTTCAGGAAATAATATTTTGGGATACAGTATATAGATTGGCACATGACATGTGCATGCGATTACCAGGATAGTGGAAGGCGAACTGGCTGGACCTTGGTCTTCTTTGGTTTAGCAATTCTTATGTTCTTATGTTTGGTGAATAAAAAACTTCTGGGATCTGTGAGATGTAAATGAGTTTCTGATAGATGTATATTTACATCTACAATACATTTTTGATGTTAGCCAGAGCGGTCTGAGATAAATGTGAAAGGACTGATATCTCATGATTTGTCTCTGGTGGGTGTTGGCACCATAAAATGACGTGAGGCTGGCAACAGATTGCCTGATATCTGATGGATGTTCCTCAATCGTAGATCAGCAAGTGCTAATTATCTCTGTTTCAACTGTGTTCCCGCTCGGCGAGCTCCGACCTGCTTCACGTCCCCCGCCTCGCCCGCCCCACCATTTGCGGGTGGGCCTTCAGCCCCTCTGCCCCCACTGTCTGGAACTCCATTCAGCTGTTCCTCTGCCTCATCCCCACCGCCTCCTTCAAGACCCTTCTCTTTGACCCTCCTGCTTTCGATTCACCCTCCTTCTCCCCCTGCCCCCACCCTCCCCAATCCCGACCCCTAGCTCAGGTCTGAAATACTGATTGCCCACTGCCTTGATATGTCCTCCTGACGTGAAAGGCACTATACAAATGTAATTTTGTTGTTGTTGTGTGCAACAAGGGCAGTCAATAAATCTGACCGGGAGAGTTGCACAGCCATCAATACCATGATTGTGTGCATTTGCATTAGTAACTAATCATTTGCATTTTTGCTCTCTACCAACTTCGAAAAATGAGAATAAAAGGCCAGAAGATGAGCAGTTCTTATGGTCCAAGGCCAAGCAAACATCAGGCAGCCTCTCAAACAAATCCTCACTGAGATCCAGTCGTATCTCACTGTCTAAAGAAATTACATCAATAGATTCAATACCAGTTATAAGACATGCCTCAGTAGATGTAAGTAAATTAAGGGTCACAGACAAAGCACCAGTGAGTGTGAATCTTCAGTCACAACTGATTATTGGCTCTTTGATTTTCCAGATTGGTTATCATACGATTGAACGCAGCACAGAGGAGGAGGAGGATACAGTTAAAGCTGTCCACAGCCAGCCCCAACGATCTAGCTGGCTGCGTCTGAGTGCTGTTACACCATTGGTAAATAATGTAAGTCTGGAGATAACTGTTATTTACCATAGACAAGTATAACTGATGATTAGTAGCAATATCCACATGTACCTAATATAATATAACGTGAATGTACCACAATCCACCAGATCACAATAGAGACTCGCATGAAAAGTCCCATTTGATCCCATGCTTTCAGAGTTCCCACCATACCATCTTCCCGTTATTGCTTGAAGCTGTTTTGTGAATGAAACCAGTGTTCATTGTAATTGTTAATTACCTTCTGGGTAAAGAAATATTTCCTGATGTCTGACCTGAAATTGCATGTTACTACCTTGAGCACTGGTGCCCTTTTGTTCTGCACCTCTGAAAAGGCATTGTTCACTCAAAGCTCAATAAACAGGAGCATCAAATAGTTTGTGTTGACTATGGAATGATTGGTATTGATGAGCCAAACCATTTGCTTATTCTGATCTTAAGAGTTTTGAAGCGAAGGGAAGCATGTGACCCTCAGTCAGGCTTTTGCAGCACCATCTGCAGGACACAGACCAAAGAATGCCTGGGTTTACCGTGATCGCAGTTCGTTTTTGTCCCCTGTTAGGAAACATTCAGCCTTATCTTTGTATTTCTGATATTGTGGTCAAGGTGAAGACCTTCCCCTATGAGGAACATTGGAACAAACTTATACAACAAAAGCAGCAGTCTAGAATCTCACATTCAGACAGAGACGTGCGTGATTGATTTGTGAATGAACCAGAGTCTTGGCCTCAACTGACCTTTCTGGTAACTGATTTGCAATTGATCATTTTTATTTGTTCTCACAGGTTAGTATGGATATTTTTGATGGTCAGGATACGACAATATCCGATGAAAAGCAGTCAGACACCACACCCAATGTCCCAGCGAGCCGGATAATTTCCTTGGAGTCTGAGGTAGGTGAACCAATTGCCCTGAATTCCACTCAAAGATCTGCCACGGAGGATGTATCTCCATTAAGTTACAGGCCACAAGCGGTGAGTCTTTGTATCATGACAGATGATTGGAAATTTGCTCTTCCAGACACCGAGTAATATTCTAAAGGCAAAGTTCACCGGGATCGAGGAGATGAATGGGAAATGGATGATAAAATGCATTGTTCTATATTAGGTTAAATAATAAGGAATTGTCTGAGATTGTATAAAAAGGCTAGGCTCTTGGGCAATTGGCCCTTAGTAGGGGTTCACACCACAAAATAATAATAATAAATAATACTTTATTGCCTAGCTTCTTACCATGTCATCGAGATGTCTCAAAGTCCTTCACTGGATATACTGTAAAGCGGATTGATTGTATACATAATAATAATAATCCTTGCATTTGATATAGCGTCTTAACATGTGCTCATTCCATTCAATCTACCTCTGGGATTTCATGTGTAGGTTGGATGCATGGAAATCTCAGCTCGGTTGGGATACTCTTAATGATGGTGTACTCTTAATAGGATACTCTTAATGGTGATGAGTTTCCACATGTGTCAGGCACCCAGCTGACNAAAAACATGGATGGAACATGCTCGATAGCCAGTAGTGGAAGCAGAAAGAGTTGATTAGGTCATTAAGCCCAACGTGCCTATGCCGGCTTTTTAGAAGAGCTATCCAATAAGCCCTGCTCTTTCCCCTGCAATTTTTTCCTTTTCAACTACGTATCTAATTCTCTTTTGAAAGTTGTTATTGAATCTGTTTCCACCAGCCTTTCAGGCAGTGAATTCCGGATGGATATCTCAGTTTGGTTTGGATACTCTTAAACAGTGCATTTTAAAAACAAATGAGATAGATTTCTTTCAGGAAATAATATTTTGGGATACAGTATATAGATTGGCACATGACATGTGCATGCGATTACCAGGATAGTGGAAGGCGAACTGGCTGGACCTTGGTCTTCTTTGGTTTAGCAATTCTTATGTTCTTATGTTTGGTGAATAAAAAACTTCTGGGATCTGTGAGATGTAAATGAGTTTCTGATAGATGTATATTTACATCAACAATACATTTTTGATGTTAGCCAGAGCGGTCTGAGATAAATGTGAAAGGACTGATATCTCATGATTTGTCTCTGGTGGGTGTTGGCACCATAGAATGACGTGAGGCTGGCAACAGATTGCCTGATATCTGATGGATGTTCCTCAATCGTAGATCAGCAAGTGCTAATTATCTCTGTTTCAACTGTGTTCCCGCTCGGCGAGCTCCGACCTGCTTCACGTCCCCCGCCTCGCCCGCCCCACCATTTGCGGGTGGGCCTTCAGCCCCTCTGCCCCCACTGTCTGGAACTCCATTCAGCTGTTCCTCTGCCTCATCCCCACCGCCTCCTTCAAGACCCTTCACTTCGACCCTCCTGCTTTCGATTCACCCTCCTTCTCCCCCTGCCCCCACCCTCCCCAATCCCGACCCCTAGCTCAGGTCTGAAATACTGATTGCCCACTGCCTTGATATGTCCTCCCGACGTGAAAGGCACTATACAAATGTAATTTTGTTGTTGTTGTGTGCAACAAGGGCAGTCAATAAATCTGACCGGGAGAGTTGCACAGCCATCAATACCATGATTGTGTGCATTTGCATTAGTAACTAATCATTTGCATTTTTGCTCTCTACCAACTTCGAAAAATGAGAATAAAAGGCCAGAAGATGAGCAGTTCTTATGGTCCAAGGCCAAGCAAACATCAGGCAGCCTCTCAAACAAATCCTCACTGAGATCCAGTCGTATCTCACTGTCTAAAAAAATTACATCAATAGATTCAATACCAGTTATAAGACATGCCTCAGTAGATGTAAGTAAATTAAGGGTCACAGACAAAGCACCAGTGAGTGTGAATCTTCAGTCACAACTGATTATTGGCTCTTTGATTTTCCAGATTGGTTATCGTACGATTGAACGCAGCACAGAGGAGGAAGAGGATACAATTAAAGCTGTCCACAGCCGGCCCCAACGATCTAGCTGGCTGCGTCTGAGTGCTGTTACACCATTGGTAAATAATGTAAGTCTGGAGATAACTGTTATTTACCATAGACAAGTATAACTGATGATTAGTAGCAATATCCACATGTACCTAATATAATATAACGTGAATGTACCACAATCCACCAGATCACAATAGAGACTCGCATGAAAAGTCCCATTTGATCCCATGCTTTCAGAGTTCCCACCATACCATATTCCCGTTATTGCTTGAAGCTGTTTTGTGAATGAAACCAGTGTTCATTGTAATTGTTAATTACCTTCTGGGTAAAGAAATATTTCCTGATGTCTGACCTGAAATTGCATGTTACTACCTTGAGCACTGGTGCCCTTTTGTTCTGCACCTCTGAAAAGGCATTGTTCACTCAAAGCTCAATAAACAGGAGCATCAAATAGTTTGTGTTGACTATGGAATGATTGGTATTGATGAGCCAAACCGTTTGCTTATTCTGATCTTAAGAGTTTTGAAGCGAAGGGAAGCATGTGACCCTCAGTCAGGCTTTTGCAGCACCATCTGCAGGACACAGACCAAAGAATGCCTGGGTTTACCGTGATCGCAGTTCGTTTTTGTCCCCTGTTAGGAAACATTCAGCCTTATCTTTGTATTTCTGATATTGTGGTCAAGGTGAAGACCTTCCCCTATGAGGAACATTGGAACAAACTTATACAACAAAAGCAGCAGTCTAGAATCTCACATTCAGACAGAGACGTGCGTGATTGATTTGTGAATGAACCAGAGTCTTGGCCTCAACTGACCTTTCTGGTAACTGATTTGCAATTGATCATTTTTATTAGTTCTCACAGGTTAGTATGGATATTTTTGATGGTCAGGATACGACAATATCCGATGAAAAGCAGTCAGACACCACACCCAATGTCCCAGCGAGCCGGATAATTTCCTTGGAGTCTGAGGTAGGTGAACCAATTGCCCTGAATTCCACTCAAAGATCTGCCACGGAGGATGTATCTCCATTAAGTTACAGGCCACAAGCGGTGAGTCTTTGTATCATGACAGATGATTGGAAATTTGCTCTTCCAGACACCGAGTAATATTCTAAAGGCAAAGTTCACCGGGATCGAGGAGATGAATGGGAAATGGATGATAAAATGCATTGTTCTATATTAGGTTAAATAATAAGGAATTGTCTGAGATTGTATAAAAAGGCTAGGCTCTTGGGCAATTGGCCCTTAGTAGGGGTTCACACCACAAAATAATAATAATAAATAATACTTTATTGCCTAGCTTCTTACCATGTCATCGAGATGTCTCAAAGTCCTTCACTGGATATACTATAAAGCGGATTGATTGTATACATAATAATAATAATAATCCTTGCATTTGATATAGCGTCTTAACATGTGCTCATTCCATTCAATCTACCTCTGGGATTTCATGTGTAGGTTGGATGCATGGAAATCTCAGCTCGGTTAGGATACTCTTAATGGTGGTGTACTCTTAATAGGATACTCTTAATGGTGATGAGTTTCCACATGTGTCAGGCACCCAGCTGACAAAAAACATGGATGGAACATGCTCGATAGCCAGTAGTGGAAGCAGAAAGAGTTGATTAGGTCATTATGCCCAACGTGCCTATGCCGGCTTTTTAGAAGAGCTATCTAATAAACCCTGCTCTTTCCCCTGCAATTTTTTCCTTTTCAACTACGTATCTAATTCTCTAATAAGGAACATTGGAACAAACTTATACAATAGACACAACAAAAGCAGCAGTCTAGAATCTCACATTCAGATAGAAACGTGCGTGATTGATTTGTGAATGAACCAGAGTCTTGGCCTTAACTGACCTTTCTGGTAACTGATTTGCAATTGATCATTTTTATTTGTTCTCACAGGTTGGTTTGGATATTTTTAATGGTCAGGATATGACAATATCCAATGAAAAGCAGCCAGACACCACACCCAATGTCTCAGCGAGCCCGAGAATTTCCTTGGAGTCTGAGGTAGGTAAACCAATTGCCCTGATTTCCACAAACAGCGAGTTTATATTTGCTGTTCCACACACTGAGACAAGTTCACCGGGATCGAGGAGTTGAATGGGAAATGGATAAGACGTATTATTCTGTATTAGGTTAAATTACAAAGAATTGTGTGAGATTGTATAAAAGTGCTAAGCTCTTGGAAATTGACCCTCTTGGGGATTCACACACCTCAAAATAATAATAATAAGTAATAATAAATAATGCTTTATCACCTAGCTCGTTATCATGTTATCGAGACATCTCAAATTGCTTCATGGGATATACTGTAAAGTGGAATAACTGTGTAATGTCTTATGTACTTTATTAAAGTCTAATTCTGAATACTCCATAGCCCTGATTCAGCATGTGCTGGTTACCTATGGTTTAATGTCAGGGGAATAAGGGCAGCTAATGAAGCTTCTTGGCGGAGGGAGAAGGAAGGAGTTCCCATGGCAATGTTCATATATCTGTATTTGCACCTCATAATTTGACCGATCAAGTGTCAGCTTGGATCAGTAGCACTGTTTCCTTTGGGTCAGAAGATTATGGGTGATGTACCATGTCAGGATTTGAATGAGAGTGGAGAGTGATTGCCACGATGATGAGATGATAAAGCAAGACACTACCTTCCTATCCAGTGGATGCAAAATACCCCATGACATTATTTGAAAAGAGGTTTCCTCTTATAGAAAAAAAGTAAGATTACGTGCTGTTGTCAATCCATTACCAGAGAAGTTTCATACTTCAATCAGTCACTGGAGCACCCCACTACTTCAAATGATTATTCTGGAACTGAATGCAAACAGGATGTTTTGCCCCAATATAAAATGATCTCATCATGAAATTTTGATGTATTTTATTTCAGAATGGTTTCAAGTTTATGATTTATTAAATCTGAACATGCAAAAGTAGGTTGTACAATCTGAACTTCTTAAATGCTGATTTCCTATATCTACAGACTGACAACTCCAAGTAGTTCTTGCAAATATTACCAGTTTTTTGAATAGAAGACTACTGAGATATATGAGATGTAGATGAGCTTCTGATAGATGTATGTTTACCTATTATTGATGTTTACATCTATCAAAACCCCTGATTGTCCAGCTCCCTCTTTCCGGCGAGAAGGGCTTTATACAAGTGAAATTTGTTGTTGTTTGTGATGTTAGCCAATGTGGCCTGGAATAAGTGTGAAAGGACTGATATTTTATGGTTTGTCTCTGGTGGTGTTGGCACCACATAATGACAAGGATCTGGTAACAGGTTCCCTGAAGTCTGATAGATGCTTCTCAATTGTAGATCAATAACAACAACAAGATTATACTTGTATAGTGCCTTTCACATCGGGAGGACGTCCCAAGTCCCTGGATAGTGTACAGAGACGGTGCTGATTATCTCTGTTCAAACTGTGTTCGAGTGCAGTGAATAAATCTGACCAGGAGAGTTGCACTTTTGCTCTTGCAGGTTGGTCTGATTGATTTTAAAAGTACAAATAAAAGATCAGATCAGCAGTTGCAGATTAAGGAGTTTAAAACCTCATCAAGCCGCTCAGAGTTTTTAAGCAAGTGCTCAGCAAGCTCTAGACATTCCTCACTGCCTGAAAAAAATAAACCAATTATCTCAATACCAGTTGTAAGACATGCCACAGTTCCGGTAAGTTAAGGGCCAAAGGTAAAGCAAGCAATGAGTGTGTATATCTTCAATCAGGACTGATCACTGAATTCTTGCTCTTCCAGAACGATAAAGACATAGTGGAAATAATGGATGAGAATCAATATAAAATGCCCCAACCGACGCAACGCCGGGGTAGCTGGCAGAATCAGACTGACCTCACACTAATTTCACATATTGTAAGTCTGTACGTAAGCATAGCCAAAGTCCTAGGTAAGTCCATGTTTGATCGGTAGTTTATTTTCATTTTTTCTTGATTTATGGCATAAATCAAGAAACATTCAATCAAGAAAATGTATTTTGTTGACTGACCTTAAAGGTTGGCCACCACTGCCATTCCTTTAGGGCTTGGACAGCCCCTTTTAGTTGCGCTGACCAGAAATGTATGCATTCCAGAACATTGAGCAACTTGAGTACGGCTTCTGATCTCAATGGATTTGGCAGTATAGCTCAGCATTCTGTTTGCCTTGTTTATTGCTGCATTACACGTTTTTGACCTTTATGTGTTGCTGAAACCAGATGTGCAGATTATAATAACAATAATAATCCTTGCATTTAATATAACACCTTATCACATCGTTGAGACGTCTCAAAGCGCCTTACAGAAGATATTGTAAAGTGGATTGACTGTGTATTTTATGGGCAAAAGTCGGCAGCCAACTGTGCACAACCCACGAACGGTCGTGGATTGCAAGATTCCCCTTGCAGGAAGTCACACTGGTAGATCCCTTGTCTTCCCTGGGCAGATGGTCAAATTTGTTGATGCAATTATCAACAGGAAGAGGAGAGAGAGCATAAATATAGACATGAAGCCGAAGTGTGACCACAGTGGTCACTGAATTTGTACTTTATTGTCTCAGTGGTGTTACTCTGTGTATCTGGTAGTTATCTGGTAGATGGGGGTATGTAGCAAATCTGACCCTCTGCCAGGCTTCTGCAGTGCCATCGGTTCCTGGACACAGGGTATCTGGTTTACTCTAACTGCTGTACATTTTTCCCTACCATCAGGAACCACTTGGCCTCTCTGCAGTGAATAAGAGAGTCCCACAACCAAACAAAGCCGCATGTGAGCATCTATGACTGATCATTTGGAATTTTTCTCTCACAGCCTGGTATGGATGCTGCCGATGATGAAACAATAATATCTAAAGAAAAGCCATCAGGATCGTTGTACCAGGACACCACATTGAGCCATGCAACACGCTCACAGAGTACCCAAGTAAGTCCAAGACAATTATTGGTGCCTCCGGAAGATGCGCTCAAATTCCGATATAAAATCTGCCTCAGTGAACATTAAATTCATATTTTTTGCTTGATTTCTCATTTGTTAAACCGTTTGCTTTGTTGTGGAATCTCTGCAACCGCAAGCCCTTTTGTTAAGTTAGCCGACTTCTTCACCCCTCCCGATTCCCGTAGCGTAGAGGTTAGAGCAGTCACCTCGCAGGGTGAATCCTGGTAAGTAAGCAGTAAGTAGGAACCCGGTTGTTAGTTGATTGGCAGATCGGTTTCTGGGGGTAATAATCCCTTCAAAAAAAAGAAAAATAATAATTTGGTCACTCGATCCATGTCTGTTTGTGGGACACTGCTGTGCGCAATTGGCTGCCTTGTTTCGCCCACAAAAATATTCAGTCAATTCACTTTACAGTCTATTCTGTGAAGCGCTTTGGGACGTCTGGAAAAACGCTATATCAAATGCAAGGATTATTATCATAACATATCTTCAGTAAGTTAAGGACCACAAGAAATGAGTGAATTTGTTTAATCACAATAATAATCCTTGTATTTGATATAGCGACTTCTCACGTCGTCGAGATGTTTCAAAGCACTTCACAGGAAATGTTGTAATGTGGAGTGACTGTGTATTTTGTGGACAACGCGGTGTCACAGTACTGGGAGAATTATATGTTCCTTTCCTGGGCACTCTGAATATAATAATAATATATCATGTCATGATCCTTCACTTCTCGTTTTTGTCGAAGATATGAGCCCAGTCAGAGCAATTTCAAGAACTACCCACAATACTTTATTTATCTTAAACTATTCACTTTTATTCAAACAAGTAATAGTAAACAATAGTTTTCCCGAATGCAGCACAGCAACACAAATATAAAACACTCTAGGAGATAGGCAATACTTTAAAAATACTTAAACTAAATATTGTTAAAGCAGAACTTTAATACAACAAACAATCTTATACTTTAAAACCTACTGAGCCTCAATAAACAAAGCCCTCTTGGGAAACACAGAATTGATAATTTGACAAGTTTACCTGTTCTGGGAAGGTTTCAATCTGAGTGGCATTAGATCCACCTCAGACACTTACTCACTTCCTCCAATTTAGCTAAACGTCCATCTTCTATACCTCAATTTAATCATGTGAATTTAGTCTTTTTATCTGTCCTTTATTCCTTACAACCAAAAGCGGAATTCAAAGGTTGTTTTGTCTAACCATATTCAAAGTTTGATTAGCCAATTATATTCTCAAATTGGTTTATCCAATCATTTTTTCATACAGAGGCGACCCCGTAGGTTATCATGTTTTAACCTCACAGAGATTTGGGAGATTTTTCAAGGTACCCCGGTACCAAGTGTCAAAAGTTCATCTTGGCATTTAATTTCCCTCTTTTGACCTTGAAGTCATAAAATCCTCATCTTACAGTATCCCAGACATTGAAACACCAACCTCGTGCATCCATCAAGACTCTTTTACCAACATTTGGCCAATATTGGTGTATCTATCTCTTAATTGACAGCATCTGGAATCCATCATTGTGGACTCTGATTCACCTCATGATCAGTAGTATTTCTTAATTTTAATTCTTATTTACAATCTTTAACTTTCAGCGCCTTGGGACGTCCTCCTGACGTGAAAGGCGCTCTATAAATGGAATCTTGTTGTTGTTGTTTATAATTCCTTTATTTTAATCTTTCGTTACAACTGCCTGTATCAGCCATAGTTCCCAAAGCATATTTTTATCCACACGCCTAATAATAATCCCTCCAAAAAAAAAAACAATAATAAATTGGTCATTTTCAATCTACGACTGTTTGTGGGACATTGCTGTGCGCAATTGGCTGCCGCGTTCGCCCACAAATATACAGTCAATTCACTTTACAGTGTGTTCTGTGAAGCGCTTTGGGACGTCCTCCCGACGTGAAAAGCGCTATATCAAATGCAAGGATTATTATTATTATTATTATTATATTTTTACTCGAAATCTCTTCAAGTGTCCCTAATCTCTCCCTTTATCCCTACTTTTGCTCCCTAGCTAGGCACATACAAAGTTAATTAATATTTTATAATACCTCTCCCTTTTCCCCCTCTTGCTAAACAAAAGATTAAAATAAAATCATGTTACACTACCTCACAACAGCAATCAATATGTACATAGCAATGTCCCACAAACAGCCATGGAGTGAGCGACCAATTTCATTTGAGAGATTGTTGGCCAGAACACTGGGAGAAATTCCCTTCTCTGTTCAAATAGTGCCATGGGATCTTTAACATACACTTAAACAGACAGACGTGACCTCGGTTTTACATCTCACCTGAAGGACAGCACTCCGACAATGCAGCACATCCCCAGGACTGTATTGGAGTGTCAGCCAAGACTAGATGATTCCAAGTCCTGATGTAAGGATTGAATCTACAACCTTCTGACTCAGAGCGAGACTGCTCCCGAGTGTACTAAGCTGACGCACATTATATTTGTTACATTATATTTGTTAAATTAATCATGGCTGATTATTGGATTTTTGTTCTTCTAGATATTGAGTGATATTCCTGATACAAAGTTCACAAGTAGAGTAACTATGAAATAGACAATACGAAAGTTCATAGCCACTTAGTGATGCAGCCCATACATTTATACTGTGACCAAATTAAACAGGATGTTATATTCAATAATATAATTATATTATAAAATTATGATTTATTTTATTTAGAAATTTTAGGATTTATTAACTACAATTAAAACAACTTGGATTCATACAGGACCCTTCATGTAAGATAATTTCACAAAAACAAGATTGGATGCTGAGTGAAGGAGAAAGTTTAGTGTGGGTATTCTCACCTACACTAAACTCCGTACCCCCATCACACCAGTCCTCGCCAGGCTCCACTGGGTCCCTATCACAGTACGGATCTATTTCAAGATCCTCTGACTCGTCTACAAATCCCATCACGCCCTGGCACCTCCCTACCTCTCTGACCTGCTTTCTCCCCACTCCATTACCCACTGCCTCGTCTTGGCTGGTTCTAGCCTCCTGCATGTCCCTTGTCCCCTCCGCCATCGGTGGACCTGCTTTCAGCCCCTACTCGCCAAAGCTTTTGCTCTCTCTCCCAATCCCTCTGCCTCACCCCCTCCTCCTCTTTTAGATCACCACTGAACCCCTTCCTCTTCAACCATGCTTTCGGTCACCTTTTCATTTTCCCCAACTCGGCGCTGTTAAGCGCTCCAAGATGCTGCCCCGAGTGAATGGCACTATGTAAATGCAAGTTGTTGTTGGTGGTGTTGAAAGGAGATGGGAAAGGAAACCTTAAGCGCAGTCAGATTGTTAATTTTCAGGCAGATTGAAAGTTAATTTTCAGGCAGAGTGAATGAGACAGAGGGGTAGAGAGCGGGATTTTCAGGCATTTGGGGCGTAGTAACTAAAGGCTCGTCCAGCATTGGTGGCACAAAGGAGGTGGGTGCCCAGCAGGTCCAAGATAGCTGAGTTGAAGGGAAGACCGAAATATGGGGTAAGAAAAGATCACAGAGATGGGGAGATCCTAAAGCATGGAGGGATTTAGGTGAGGCTGAGAGCCTTGAAGTTGATCCATGACCAGAAGTAGTCAGAGATAAGTGATGTCTCTTAGCATGTCTCTTGAGATGTATTTGCACCACAAAATGACTTGGAGCTGGCAACAAATTGCTGAAGCTTGCTGGATGCTCCACAATCCTGGGTCAGCAGGTGCTGGTTATCTCTGTTTAAAGTATGTACAACAGTCAATAAACCCACAGCCATCTATGCCACCACGTATGTGCGACTGATTTTTGCTTTTGCAGGTCGATGTGGCTCCTTCGGAAAGTGAAAATAAAAGATCAAAAGATCAGCAGTTCCAGTCAAAGGGCTTTAAAACCTCAAGCAAGTCCCCAGTGCTCTCTAAACGTTGCCCGAAATCTGCAAAGAAGACGTCAATTATCCCAATACCAGCTGTAAGACATGCCTCAGTGGATATTTCTCCATTAAGTTAAGGGCCTCATGTAGAAAAAGCAGTGAGTGTTTCTTCTGATATCCTGATCAAGAACAGGATTCCCACTACAAGGACAATTGAAACAAACCTGTGCATTATGTGCAGCAAAAAAGGCTGTCTGGGAGAGAGCCCCACAGTCAGGCAGAATTGATCTGTGTATTTGTGACATTTCATTTGCAATTGTTCTCTCTCAGGTTGTTCCAGATACATTAGATGATGAGGATATGACAATATTCAATCAAAAGCAGTCAGACTCGGTGAGCACAGACACCAGACACCGTGCCTCAGTGACCCCAATAACTTCCTTGAAGCTAGAAGAAGGTGAATTAATTCCCCTCAATTTCAATATAGAATCTGCCTCAAATGATGTATCTCCGGTAAGTTACAGGCCACAGGGAAACAAGGAATTTGTCTGTATATTTAATCATGACTGATCTTGGGATACTGTATTTGTTCTTCCAGACTCCGAGTGATATTCTGAATACCAAGATCTCAAAGGTGGAGGAGGATGAATATAAAATGGACAATCTGATAAGAATAAACGCTAGTGTGCTTAATTTAAATACTCACTCAAAGACAACCATTGATGTAAGCGTGACGCTAACTCCTAACACATATCCAAATTCAATTTGGAGCAATATACAGTTAGCTTAGTTAGCTGGGTGACTGACACATGCAGAAATGCATTACTATGCTTAAGAGTATCCAAATCAAACTGAGAATTCTACATATGTATGTCACTTAAATTTCCCTGTGTCCGAAATGAAATGTGCATTCTTTCTTTGGAAAGTCACAAATTGTTTACCTAATTCTAGAGAGTATTAATAATACTAATAATCCATGCATTTGATACAGCGCCTTATCACATCTTTGAGATGTCTCAAAGCCCTTCACAGAATATGCTGAAAAGTGAATAGACTGTATAGTTTGTGGACAAAACATGGCAGGCAATTGCGCACAACAGTGTCCCACAAACAGTCATGGATTGAAGTGACCAATTTAATATTTTTTATTTTTTAAAAAATAATTATTACCCCCGGAGAAGCGATCCGCCATCAACTAAAAATCAGATTCCTACTTACTGCAAGATAAACAGAGGCGTGTGAAGTAAGGAAGCTTGCCTAACATTTCGCCCCGGGAGGGAATCAAACCCAGATTTCTTGCTTGCGAGGCGAGTGGTCTAACCAATGAGCGGATGCAGATTGGCAAGAACCGAGGCTTGGGGATCCGAGAATGTTATTGGGTTACTGATGTAGTTTAACCAGCTAAAACCGCAAAACTTCTTGCCATTGGGAGCCTTGGTCTGGCAAGTTTTCTGCTGCTTGTCCAGCTCGGATCACCCTTATAGTATTCAGAGATGGAGATTCCCACCACAGCATGTCCTTGTTTCACCTGGACAAAAGTTCAAATTGGTGAGAAGAATGGACGGTACCTATTCACAAGATAAAGGGAAAGAGGGTGCAACAGATTAGGGTTCTAATGCAACGATATCTTAAAGCATAAAGCTAAATCAGGATTGCCAAAGTTTCTAGCTGACTAGAGAGTTGATAATGATGTCTGGACTTGAGTTTTGGGCCCCTCATCCTCAATCTAAGTACCAAAAGGGTAGCAGAAATGCCTCTGGGATGTATCTCTAATTGATTTTCACCTCTTTGGTAAAGAAAAATTACTTTTTGCTCCTATCTTTCTGTGATATAAGTTTTCCAGGTCTGATCTATTGTCCGCAATCTGGATCAGAAGTGCTGGTTTTCACTGTTTGAGCTACAATCGGTGCAATCAATAAGTCTGACTGCGAGAGTGTCCACATCTATCAATACCATGTATACATCTGTATGTGTGACTGATCATTTGTATTTTTTCTGTCACAGCTGGTTCCAGATTTCAATGAGGAGGATACAACAATGTTTGATGAAAATGACTCCCAGGACTCACACTTGAGACATAGCCTTGAAGGGAGTTCAAGGAGTACTGGAGATTCAATGCTGCCTGAAAAAGATAAATTAATCTCAAAATTCAATGCAAGGCGTCCCTCGGTGGATAATTCTCCAGTAAGTTAAGGGCCACAGGTGGAACAAGTATTGATTGTGTGTATCTTTAATTATGACTAATAACAGGATTTTTGCTCTTTTAGACTCCTAGTCATCTTCTGGGTGTAAAGATCTCAGCTCTTGATACTCATGGAACGACCCTTACTGAAAACAAAGAAGAAGGGTGGCTGAAGGAGGCGAAAAGTAATGTAAGTCTGGAGCCAACTCTTAACGTATACTGAAATTCAATTGATGAATTGAAGTAATTTGATAGTACAGTGGTTATTCTGATTCCAATCTGTGGCATGTCACACTGGTAACTTCTTTAATAATAATAATAATCCTTGCATTTGATATAGCACTTTTCACATCGGGAGGACGTCCCAAAGCGCTTCACAGAACACACTGTAAAGTGAATCAACTGTATATTTGTGGGCGAACGCGGCAGCCAATTGCGCACAGCAATGTCCCACAAACAGTCATGGATTGAAAATGACCAATTTATTATTGTTTTTTGGGTTTTTTGGAGGGATTATTATTAGGTGTGTGGAGTAAGGAAACTTGCCCAAGGTTTCACCCTCTGCCTGGAATTGAACTCAGGCGAGTGCTCTAACCACTGAGCTACAGGACTCCACTTTTTGTCTCACCTGGGCAAAAAAATCATTTTGGTTTCCCCTTTATGGATCTGACCTGTCACCGAGCATCCTGGAGGCGGCTACAATCAGGCTGGTCCTTGTATGGGAGATATTTTCTGGAGGTTTTTTTTATGCCTTTAGGCAAACACAAAGAAGAAGATCTGGACCAATTAGTAAACCTTGCTTTGGTAGAACTGTCGCCTCTGAGTCAGAAAGTTGTGGGTTCAAGTCTCATGTTGGTACTTGGAATCACATTGTCTAAGGCAGCTGACACTCCAAGCAGAGCTGGAACTGTTGTTGCTTTGGCAGAAGTGCTGTCCTTTCGATGAGACGTTAACCCAAGGGCTCATGCCTGTTCAGATGGATGTTAAAGATTCCATGGCACTATTTGAAAAGAGGTGTTTCTCCTGTTGTCCTGGGCAAAAGATGCCCCAAATACAAAAACTCTCACCCCCAGCTCGGGTAGCCAGCCAGCACTGTCGAGCGCTTTGAGACATCCTCCCATCGGGAACAACAACAAGATTCCATTTATTGAGCGCCTTTCACGTCGGGAGGATGTCCCAAGGCGCTGTACTGTTGGGTCGGGACCCGAGCAAGGGGGAAATGATCAGGGTGAGGGGAGGGAAGGGAGGGAGCGAGGAGGGGGTAGAGAGTCGAGAGGGGAGCTGAAGGCACGGTCAAAGAGAAAGATCTTGAGACCGGCCTTGAAGGAGGAAAGGGAGGAGGCAAGGTGAAGGCACTGGGGGATAGAGTTCCAGAGTCTAGGGGCTGAAAGGCTGAAGGCCCGGCCACCGATGGTAGGGCGGTTGGGGCGGGGGATGTGGAGCAGGCCGGAGCCAGAGGAACGGAGGGTACGGGTAGGTAGGTAGGGGGATAGTAGGTTGGAGAGGTAGGAGGGAGCAAGGCCGTGAATGGCCTTGTAGGTGAGGATGAGGATCTTGAATTCGAACGATCCTATATAAATGTAAACTGTATTATATTGTACTCACTGGAGCACTCCATTACTATATAATGCCTCGCAAGCGAGAAGGGTCAGGTTCCCGTCAGGGCGAAATGTTGGACAAGTTTCCTTACTCCACACGCCTCTGTTTACCTAGCAGTAAGTCAGCACCTGGTTGTTAGTCAATTGGCAATCGCTTTTCCAATAATTTGGTTAAAAAAATAATAAATTGGCCACTCAATCCACGACTGTTGGTGGGACACTACTTGCGCAATTGGCTGCTGCGTTTTGCCCACAAAATAACATAACATAACATGTAGGAGCAGGAGCAGGCCATTCAGCCCTTCGAGCCTGCCCCACCACTCAATTATGGCTGATCTTCTAATCTAACTCCAGCTAATAACCTAACCCTGCCTTATCCCCATATCCCTTAATCCCTTAATCCCTTTTGCAATAAGAAATCTATCTATCTCAGTCTTGAATATGTTCAAGGACAGAGCGTCAACAGCCCTTTGGGGTAGCGAGTTCCATACATTCACCACCCTTTGAGTGAAGAAGTTCTTCCTCAACTCAGTGCGAAAGGGCTGCCTCTGATTTTAAGGTTTTGACCCCTGGTTTTAGTTTCTCCAACCAGGGGAAACAGTCTCCCACTATCTACTCTATCATGCCCTTTGATGATCTTATAGGTTTCTGTAAGATCCCCTCTAATACTTCTATATTCTAGAGAATATAGGCCCAAATTGGTCAGCCTATCCTCGTAACTCATCCCCTTCATCCCTGGTAGTAACCTAGTAAATCTACGCTGCACCCCCTCCAAGGCAAGTACATCCTTCCTGAAATAAGGAGACCAAAACTGCACAGAAAATTTCAGGTGTGGTCTCACCAGGGCCCTATACAGTTGCAGCAAGACTTCCCTACACTTATACTCTAATCCTTTCATAATGAATGCTAACATACTGTTAGCCTTCCTAATTGCTGCTGCACCTGCAGACTAACTTTCTGTGATTGATATACAAGGGCACCCAAGTCCCTCTGATTCAGTCAATTCACTTTACAGTATATTCTGTGAAGCGCTTTGAGACATCTCGAAGATGTGATAAGGCCCTATAACAAATGCAAAGATTATTATTATATGTTTATACATTAACGTGTATCCAATAATACCTGCCGCAAATCAAATTTATTGTGTATGTTAATTAGGAATAGTTGCAAGGCTACAGTTTATCAAATTGGAATACACAAAAGTAACTTAGACAGTCTAAATCTTTACATCTGAAAACTTAACTAGGAAGTCTTTTACCCACTGACTCTGAATGGTCCCATGAAACCTCAACCTTCTCATAGAATCATGGAATTATACAGCGCAGAAGGAGGCCATTCAGCCCATCATGTCTGTGCCGCTCTTTGAAAAGAGCTATCCAATTCAATCCCACTCTACCACACTCTCCCCATGTGCCCTGCAAACTTATCCTCCCCAAATAATTATCTACTTCTCTCTTAAAAGCTGTTATTGAATCGGCTTCCACCACCCTTTCAGGCAATACATTTCAGATCCGAACAACTTGCTGTGTGAAAATATTTCTCCTCACCTCTGTTTCTTTGTATGATCTGCAAACTCAGAAATTGTACTCCCTATTATCCAAGTCCAGGTCATTTATATAGATCAAAAACAGCAGTGATCCCAATACTGATCCCTGGGAGACAACACTGCACACTTCCCTCCAGTCAGAAAACCAACCGTTCACTGTCCCTTTAATACCATGGGCTTCTATTTTGCTTACAAATCTCTTATGTGACACTTTATCAAACACCTTTAGAAAATCCACATAAACTACATCAACTGCACTACCTTCATCCACCCTCTCCATTACTTCATCAAAAAATCTCTGTGAGGTTTGTTAGACATGATTTGCCTTTAACAAATCTGTGTTGGCTGTGCTTTATTAACCCATATTTTTCTAAGTTAATTTATTTTGTCCTGGAATATAGTCTCCAGAAGTTTCCCCACTATTGACGTTAGGCTGACTGGCCTGTACTTCCCTGGTTTATTCCTCTGCCCCTTTTTGTACAGGGGAGTAACATTTGCAACTCTCCAGTCCTCTGGCACCACCCCGCTGTCCAAGGAGGATTGAAAGATTGTGGCCAGAGCCTCCATTATTTCCACCCTTATTTCCCTCAGTAACCTAGGATGCATCCCTTCTGGTCACGGTGACTTATTTACTTGAGCACCGACAACATTTTTAGTACCTCCTCTCGGTTTATTCTTATCTTATCCAATTTCTCTACCCTCACCTCCGATACTGTGGCATTGACTACAGCCTCTTCTTTTGTGAAGACAGATACAAAGTACTTATTCAGTACTTCGACTTCTGCCTCCACAAGAAGGTTTCCTCTCTGGTCCCTAATTGGACCCACCCTACCTTTGACTAACCTTTTATTCTTTATATGTTTATAAAATACCTTAGGGTTCCTTTTATATTACCAGCTAATCTTTTCTCATTCTATCTTTGCCCCTCTTATTTCTTTTTCAGTTCTCCTCTGTACTTTCTATATTCTATTTGATTATCTTCTGTATTTTGGACCTGACATTTATCATAAGCCTCCTTTTTATGTTTTATTTTAATCCCAATTTTCTTACGTATCCAGGGAGGTTTGGATCCCTACCTTTCCGCTTTGTGGGAATGTATTTATTCAGTCCCCAAACTATTTCCTCCTTGAAGGCTCGATAGCTGATTTACCTACCAATCTTTCTTTCCAGTCCACCTTGGCTAGGTCTCTTTTTAACTCCCTGAAATTAGCCCTCTTCCAGTTGAGTATCTTTAACTTTGCTTATTCCTTGTCCTGTTCCATAAGTACTCTAAACCTAATGATATTGTAATCACTGTTGTCAAGATTCTCTCCTACTAAAACCAACTTCACTTGCCCCACTTCATTCCCCAGAACTAGATCCAGCACTGCTTCCTTCCTTGTTGGCTGGAAATATGCTGATCCAGGAAGTTATCCTTCACAGATTTCAGGAATCCTTGCCCCTCCTTGCTCTTTACACTGTTATTTTGCCTGTCTATGGTAGGATAATTGAAGTCCCCCATTATCACTACTTTTGCATTTTTCTGAAATCTGCTTGCAGATTTGCTCGTCTATCTCCTTCCCACTATTTGGTGGTCTGTAGTATACACCTAACAGAGTAACAGCTCCTTTTCTGCTCCTTAACTCTCACCAAATAGATTCTGTTTTGGGATCCTCTAGCACATCATCCTTTTCCAGGGCCGTAACCATGTCTTTAACCAATATTGTCACCCCCTCTCCTTTTTTCCCTTCCCTATCCCTCCTGAATACATTGTAGCCAGGAATATTCAGCTCCCATTCCTGCCCTTGTTTGAGACAGGTCTCCGTTATTGCCGCTACATCATAACCCCATTTGGGACCTTGAGCCTGCAGCCTCCAACCTTATTTGTCACACTCTGTGCATTTACGCATATGCACTCCAAGACCGACTTAGTCTGCTCTGCATTTCTCCCCCGTCTAATCCCTCCTTTTTCTGGATTGCTCCTGATTACATTGCTATTCATCTCTCCCAGCTCTCCATGTAACTTGTTTGTTCTCTCTAATGCTACATCCTGATTCCCTTCCCCCACAAAATTAGTTTAAACCCTTACCCACAGCACTAGTTAACCTCCCAGTGAGGACATTGGTCCCAGCCCTGTTCAGGTGTAACCCATCCACCTTGTATAGAACTGGTCCCAATGATCCAGGAACCTGAAGCCCTCCTTTCTGCACCATTTCACCAGCCATGCATTCATGTGTTTGATCCTGCTGTTTTGATACTCATTGCACGAGGCACTGGGAGTAATTATAAATCACCACCTTTGAGGTTCTACTCTTTAGCTTTTTTCCTAGCTTCTGATACTCTCCCTGTAAAATCTCAGCCTTTTTTTCCCTATGTCATGGATCCCAACATGGACCATGACTTCTGGATGTTCCCCTTCCCCCGTAGAGCGTTTTGCACCTGTTCTGTGATGTCTTCAACCCTGGCACCAGGAAGGCAACATACCATGCGAGAGCCATGTCTTTGGTTGCAGAAACGCCTGTCTACTCCTTTCATCATTGTGTCCCCAATGACAATTGCACTGACACTCTTCCCTGTCCCACCCTGTGCATCTATTCGCTTTTGACTCCCCTCCCCAGAGGTGTCATCACCTTGACCAGTATTCAGTACAGAAAACCGGTTTGTGAGTGCCACGCTCTCAGGGGATTTCTGCACTGCCCATCCCCTCTTCCTACCATGCTGGGTATTCACCCACTCACTCTCCTTCTGAACCCTTTGTGGCTGTGGGGTGACCACCTCCTGAAACGTTCGATCCATGAACTCTTCAGCTTCCCGTATGCTATGTGGTGACACCAGCCACTCCTCAAGCTCAGAAACTCTGAGCTCAAGCTTGAGCAGCCAGAGGCACTTGCTTCACACGTTTCTGTCTGGGGCACACAAAGCATCCTAGAGTTCCCACATGGCACACATTGTGCATGCAACTGTATTCCCAGACATGTTTAATATTATTTTAATATAAATATTAGATATTTTATAATTCTGCGCCTCTTTCCCCTTCTGCACTGAATTCCCATTCTCACTTAATTCCTTAACAGAATTCTCACTCTGTTCCACCTCACTCAGTTTGCTCCTCATGCTGCTGGGCTTTCTGCTCCCATGATATAGAATCTATGTAAATGACCTGGACTTGGGTATAAGGAGTAGAATTTCCAAGTTTGCAGATGATACTAAGCTAAGAAAAATAGTAAATACTGAGGAGGAGGGTAGCAGACTGCAAGAGGTCATAGACAGACTGGTCACCCAAGGACACTGATTTAAAATAGTTATTAAAAGAAACAGAGGGGAGGTGAGGATAAAACTTTTTACACAGTGAGTTGTTCGGATCTGGAATGCTTTGCCTGAAAGGGTGGTGGAACCAATTCGATAACAGCTTTTAAGAGAGAAGTGGATAATTATTTGGGAAAGACAAGTTTGCAGGGCTATGGGGAGAGTGTGGTGGAGTGGGATTGAATTGGATAGCTCTTTTTCAAAGAGCCGACACAGACATGATGGGCCAAATGGCCTCCTTCTGTGCTGTATAATTCTATGATTCTGATGCATCAAAACCGACTGGAAGCTATGCTATGAACATGTCCTTCTGATTCATCCCTTCTGCAGGTTGACGTTAAAGATCCCATGACACTATTTAGCAGAAAGTTTCTCCCGGTATCCTGGGCAATAATAAAAACTGGTCATTCACTTCTCATCTGTCTGTGGGACATTGCTGTGTAAATATTGGCTGAAGTGTATGCCTACAAATGCACTGAAGTACATTGAGACTTTTTGATGTGATCAGGTGCTGTATCAAATGTAATGGTGATTATCATTATATTTCTTTGTATATTTGGAAATGTAACCAAGAGTGGCCTGAGATAAGTGTGAAAGGACTGAAGTCTCATGGTATTAACCTGCTGGGACCAAACAGAATGACGTGGAGCTGGCAACAGACTGCCTGAAGTTTAAACAGAGGTAGTCAGGATTTGAATAAGCAAGTGTTGGTTATCTCTGTTTAAATGGTTTTCAATGGTGTTCGGTGCTCAATGCAACAATTGAGATATAACCCAATGGCCAGGCAAATGATCCTTTTGCTCTCGCAGGCTGACAGTGTTGACAATGATGAAATTCACACAACAGATTCCGCAGACAGTATTACCAAAAACAAAAACTGTTTGCTCTCCCAAAGTTTTGAATTGTTAATGCCTCTGCCTGACTTAAACTTCGCATCGGCATTAAAAGACGCAGCAAGGTGTACCTGAACGGACATTTCCGTACGTCAGTCCAAAGGCAGATCACGTTGCGTGTTAGTTTATCTCCATTCATGACTGATTATTGTATTGTTATTGTTTCAGATATTTAGTGATCTTGTGAGCAGGAAGGTCACAGCGGAAGATAAGCTTCAAAAACCAGTACCCATGAAGATAACCAGCAGCACCACACAATTTTCCAATCCCTTCCCAGTGACTGTGAGTCCGGAGACAAATTGCAACATGTAATGAATGAAACTGATAAATTGCATCAATATTCTTCTGAATAAATCTCAAGATTTATTTTAATTCCATTTCCCCACCTTTCCTCTGTTTAGTTCATACTTTTACTTTTTGTCTGTCTATCCTTCCATCCCCCTGTCCCCCTGTCCGTCTGTCTATCTATCTGTGTCTCGATCTCCCTTTTAAACATTCCAATCAATTCTGCATCTACAGCCTTCTGAGGCAGTTAGTTCCACATTCTCACAACCCTCTTTGAAGAAACCATTTCTAATCATCTTAGCTTTAGTTTTGGATCTCTCTACCAGAGTGAAGCATCTATTCAGGATGGCAATTTCCTTCATTTGTTTAAGCATCTCATTTAAATTACCTCTCAGCTATATGGAATGGAATCTGTATGCAGGTATTGTCTCACTGTGCAGCAGATGAGCTTGTCCACAAGAGAGTCCCATGGCCAGACAAAGCCATCTGTATGTGGATCTGTGTTTGTTGCTCCTCATTTGGATTTTTTGGCACTTGCAGAGTTATTTGATTCCTGAGGTCTCCCAGCAACCGAAAACTTCAAGCATTTTCTCAGCACGCACAAAAAGGTTCTCGAAGGAATTTAATATTTCAGCGACCTCAAAAAACCCCGAAAGTAACGGCACAAACGACTCAACTCTTGTAAGTCAGTAGACACAGATAGAACAAGTAGCATGTATGTGGGTCTGGATTTGTGTTTAAGCTCCATTTGCACACATAAAAATGTTTTCTGTACTTCACAGTAACTTTTTATTGGGAGCTTTGAGAGGTTTTAGTATTATAAGATGACATATTAAATACAAATTTTATTTATTTATTTTATTTTGAATCAACATCCATTTGAAGAACTAGTTGTTGAACCAAGGTTCCATCTGCCTCGGTGACTCACGTGGATTTTAAAGGGTATCTTGCTGCTCACACATGTCCTGGCTAATATCCTTTCCTCATTCTAATTCACCTTAAAAAATCATATTGATCAGCTGTTTTTTCTCAGATGTTGCTGTAGCAGGTTGCCAACATAACACTCTGACCATTTCAGATTATCCTTGTATTCTGGAGCATTTTGAAATGTTCTTTTACATGAAAAATATTGTATCAATGGAAGCTTTTGGATTTTTGCTTTGCACTGATGTTTTCTGATGAGGCTTCAAAGAAGATCATGAGCAAAGACATGAATTCTGAGGGCCTTAACATCTCAGCCCACTGTGTTCGCACAACACAAATCTCATTTCACATAAATCCTGATTCAATACTGCACAAGATCAGTCTGGGAATCCAACAAAAAAGCATTTCTGGTCATGCCTCATCAAACCAAGTTCAGATAAAAACAACAACATGCACTTATATTGCGCTTCTTATTCAGGGTAGCGTCCCAGAGCGCTCCCACAACGATGCTACAAGCAGAACCAGTAATTTGTATGACCAGCTATATTGATGACTGATTGTTGGATTCTCGTTCCTCCAGATACAATCTCATTTTATATCTGACCAGATCTTGGGTGTACAGGATCAAGAGATTACCAGTCTTCACCCAGAAAGCTCAAGTAATGTAAGTCTAAAGCTAACAAGTAACTAAACTGATCTGATGAATTCTAACAGTGTATCAATAGTTGGTAGAACTGTGGGTGTGTAGATTTCTTCCTGCAGTGTGTCACACTCACAACTGATAACTTCCTTGCCTCACTAGAAAAGTTGAAGGAAAAATTGGTGAGAAGAGGTGTAAGGTGTTTATTTATCCAAAGGGAGAGGGAGGGAGGGGATACTATTTCATGAAACCAAACACAGACCATAGCATCACAGATCACAATCATGCTGATACTTTCATAAGAGGTTTTCTGTAATTTTGTTAGGTCCCTGCAATAATGAAACAACACTAATAAACCATGGAAGCAGACAATTTATTGCTTTTCTTCTTGAATAACAATGAATTACAACACTCTGATTTCAAATTGGAACAAGGAGAATTACTAACATCCGTAGATTAGATTACCACCAAGGCTGAAGATCAAATACACTTTGGAGTTCCATGTGGAGATTTGAAGAGAGCCCTGACCCAATCTCTCCAACAAGGCTAGACTTGATTTATTTATTTATTTGAAGGGATTATTATTTCCGGAAAGCAATCTGCCAATCGATTAAAATCTTGTTCCTACTTACTGCTAGGTAAGTAAAGGCGTGCGGAGTAAGGAAACTTGCCTAAGGTTTTGCCTTGCCCGAGAATCAAACCTGGGTCTTCTCACTTACGAGGCAAGCTCTCTAACCAATTCACCACTGCACTATAAGATCATGGCTGACCTGTATCTCAACTCCTCATTTATCTAATTGACCCAACTTTGCTCCATGTTCCTTCATACCCTTACCTAACAAAAAATCACCTGCTCCCTTGACCCACCCCTCATTGTTACTGACCACGCAGCTTCCTTCCTCATGCTCCTGTTAACCAGTATCATCCAGCTCTCTCTGTGCACTGGTACAGTTCCTCTTTCCAATCGCCTTCCTTCTCCATCATTCACCTCCCTACTCCATCTCCATGATTCTGTCCCAACATCACCTGCTCTGCGACTATCTCTCCCCATGGGCTGCTGAGACCCTCATGCATGCCTTCAGCAGATCCAGGCCTGATAATTTCAAAGCCCTGCTCACCAGTCTCCCCATATCCTCTCTGAGCAAGCTGCAGACCATCCACAACTTTATAGTTCTCTCCTCCACCAGGCCCTGCATGCTCATGACTCCATCCTCGCTCAGCTCCCCATCCCCCACCAGATCAAATTCTCACTTTCAAATCCCTCCACCGCATTCCTCTAGCTCTGCTAGCTCCTGCTCCAGTCAATCTCTCCACTCAGGATACACTGAGCAGTTTCATGATCCCCCCTCCGATCAGGTATCCCACTTTAGTCATTTTGCTCACACTGTTCTTTGCTCCTTCGCCCTGCCCCTGAAACCCTTCTAAAGAATAGAGGGATTGAGGGATATGGGGATAGGACAGGTAAATGGAATTAAGTTAGAAGATCAGCTATGATCTTATTGAATGGCGAGGCAGGCTCGAGAGGTCGAATAGCCTACTCCTGCTCCTACATCTTATGGTCTTATGGTCTTAAACTTGTTTTTGCTGGCTTTCAACTACCTTCTTCCCCCCTCCTCAGCTCCCTTTCAACCCCCACCCCCTACTCCCACCCCACCCAACCAAACAGCTTGGGCTCCCAATCTATTGTGTGAAACACTTTGAGACATAGAAATATAAATTGAAATTAAATACCGATATAAAACAAGAGAAAAGTCAAACTACTTTAAACTTATTAGGGCGTTAGGAAAGTACATTTTCAAATTGCATCTTGTCGGAGCCAAACAAATGCTTTAAGTAGATCATTGACAGATGATCTGTTGAATACCAAATCGGTTCTTTTTTGAGTATAGATCGGGAATATGTAGAAAATCAAGAGATGGTAGATGAGTTGCGTGGAATTTTCACAGCAGCTTTTACACATAAAGACTTTGGTCAAATGTGCTCAGAGAATCTTCCATTCAAGACATCATTACAGGCTGGGATTTGGAGAAGCCTAAAGAATTAAAGTGTGTACAAAGTACTTGAGGCAGTTGGGGCAGACCGTGGAATTCTTAAGGAAATGAGGGAGAAAAGTATTGAGATGAAGACGCCGTACGACAATTGGAAGACGCAAGATACTGAGGATAGCAAAGCACATTATAGAGAATGCAGGAGTGATCTTAAAAGAATGATAAGACAGGCTAAAAGATAGCATGAGAAGAGGTTAGCGGATAACATAAAGGGGAATCCTAAAATATTTTACAAAATGACGACAATCTTGTTGTGGAGGCAGAGGGCGTGGCTAATGTACTGAACGAGTACTTTGCATCTGTCTTCACAACGGAAATGGATGCCCCAAATTCCGCATTATTGGATGAGAGGGTAGAGGACATAGATCAGATTACTATAGACAGAGAGGAAGTTCTGAAAAGATTGACTGGGCTCAAAATTGATAAGTCACCAGGACCAGATGGGTTTTCACCCAAGGTTGTTGTGGGAGATACGGGTTCAAATAGTAGAGGCTTTGGCCATTATATTTCAATCGTCATTGGACACAGGAGTGGTGCCAAGAGACTGGAGAGTGGCTAATGTTACCCGCCTCTACAAAAAGGGGCAGAAAGACAAACCCGGAAATTACAGGCCAGTCAGCCTAACGTCGGTAATAGGAAAGCTACTGGAGACCGTAATCCAGGACAAAATAAATCTCTATTTAGAGGAACACGAGGTAATTGGAGACAGCCAACATGGATTTGTTAAAGGCAAATCTTGCCTAACAAATCTAATAGAATTTTTTGAAGAAGTGACTGCGAGGGTTGATGAGGGAAATGCGGTGGACATTATTTACATGGATTTCAAAAGGCTTTTGACACAGTATCGCATAAGAGATTAATAAACAAATTAGAGGCCCACGGTATTAAGGGGACAGTGGCAGTTTGGATTACGAACTGACTGAGTGATAGAAAGCAGAGGGTGGTGGTTAATGGGTGTTTCTCAAAATGGAAGGAGGTGTGCAGCGGTGTCCCCCAGGGATATATCTTTCTGATATATATTAATGATCTGGACTTGGGCATAGGGAGCACTATTTCCAAGTTTGCAGATGATACAAAGTTAGGTAGGATAGTAAATAGTGAGGAGGACTGTAACCAACTGCAAGCAGACATACACAGAATGGTGGAATGGGCTGACATGTGGCAGATGGATTTCAATGTGGATAAGTGTGAGGTGATACATTTAGGTAGGAAAAATGATAGGAGGCCATTTAGATTTGGTAGCTCAATCTTAAGGGGTTGAACGTACAGAGAGATCTGGGTGTTCAAGTAAGCGAATCATTAAAGGTAGCGGGGCAGGTAGATAAGGCAGTAAAAACGACATTTGGTGTACTGAGCTTTATTAGTAGGGGCATGGAGTATAAGAGAAGGGAGGTTATGGTTAATCTATACAAAACACTGGTTAGGCCTCAGCTGGAGTACTGCGTCCAGTTCTGGGCACCTTACCTCAGGAAGGACATTAAGGCACTGGAAAGGGTGCAGAGGAGATTCATGAGAATGATACCAGGAATGGGGAACCTTAGCTATGAGGACAGGCTGGAGAAGTTAGGACTTTTCCCATTAGAGCAGAGAAGGTTACGCAGGGACCTGATAGAGGTCTTCAAGATCATGAAAGGTTTCGACAGGCTAGATAGGGAAAAGCTGTTTCTGCTGGTAGGTGTGTCTGTGACCTGTGGTCACAGTCTTAAGATAATAATAATAATATAATAATAATCCTTGCATTTGATATAGCGCTTTTCACGTCGGGAGGACGTCCCAAAGCGCTTCACAGAATATACTGTAAAGTGAATTGACTGTATATTTGTGGGCGAACGCGGCAGCCAATTGCGCACAGCAATGTCCCACAAACAGTCGTAGATTGAAAATGATCAATTTATTATTGTTTTTTGGGTTTTTTGGAGGGATTATTATTAGGCGTGTGGAGTAAGGAAACTTGCCCAAGGTTTCGCCCTGCCTGGAATTGAACCCAGGTGTCTTGCTTGCAAAGCAAGTGCTCTAATCACTGAGCTACAGGACTCCACAAGATATCTACCAAAAGAAGCAGAGGGGAGGTTAGAAGAAATTGTTTCACTCAGCGAGTTGTTCGAATTTAGAATGATCTGCCCGAAAGGGCAGTGAAGTCTGATTCGATAACAGCTTTTAAGAGAGAACTGGATAGGTATCTGGGGAAGACGGGTTTGCAGGGTTATGGGGAGAAAGCTGGTGATTAGGGTTAGTGAAAGTGACTTGCTCTGTCAAAGAGCCGGCACAGACTCGATGGGCCGAGTGGCCTCCTTCTGTGCCGTAATATTCTATGAATCTATGAATCTATAATGCTTTAGGAGTGTACAGGAATGGAGTTGGACCTGGGAACTGCAGTCAGCAACCCATTTTTCACATTAAGCAATTTTTCAAAGCGGGATTGGTGCATCAACCAGAAGGTAATAGTAGTCTGATTTACCCCTGGAGAGGGGGAAATGATTCAGTGAATTGTATTGGATGATCTAAATGTCATTCAGTTAGTTCTTTTCATCACCTCAATGGAACCATCCATTGAATGTGGAGTAGGCAGACCAGACAATTTGGCCTTTTCCTAACAGCTGTTTGGTTTAAAGGAAGATGAAGCAAACCAAGTGTTAGACAGCTTTCTGGAGAATGTGAAGGAAGCACCTGTATGTGCATTTGCAGGTGTATGTGCCAGCAGCACATTGTGGTCTCTGAGCTAATCGCATGTAAGCAGATTAATCATCTGCTGAGCAGGGCTGCTTCATAAATTAACCTTTTACAGTACATCCAGCACAAAACCTCTCATATTGATAACAATGAACCTGCTGAACTTACACGCCTTTGTAACTGATCATTTGATTTCTTTTTGCTCTTCCAGTTCAAAATTATTGATCTCCTTAAGAATTCAAGTGACGCACAACATCTGGAAGTCGGTCTGATTCAACCCAGCCCATCTGTTTCCATGATGGACTTGACAGAAGACCGTTTATTATACCCGTACAAGTCCTCAAGCAACTCAAAACAATCAGAAGTATGATGCCACCTTAACATGTAGTTGAATGTTCTCATGAATTGCATCAATTAAAATCATTTCAATTCAACTGTTAATAATTGTACAGTTATTCCTAAACTAAGAACACAAGATGTGCTGCCTTGAAACTCCAATTTCTTAAAAGCTGGGCACAATGATATAATGGTGTTCAAAGGCTTACTCATAGGAAGGTGGGTAGAGAGAGCAACTGCATGATAACATAGCCAAAGCAGATACCAGGGTTCACATGTCACAATCACGATTTTCTACAGAATCCTCTGGTTTTGTACTATTTACTATCAGATTTCTCGGGACATAGCTCCGAAGCAGTGCAGTATAGCATAGGTGGAATGTCCTATCATGCTTGAGCGAGAAGAGAATAAACGGGATTAGGAGCGTTGGAGGCTCATATTAGAATACAAACACTGGATAGACTAGTTAGGTTGAATGCCCCGTAGTGTTCTGTGTAATACTGTACTATCCATGAATTGTTTGTTTTGCTGTAACCTGTGGAATTTACCATCTGATAAATCTGTAACTTCTACTTGCTAGTAATGACTGTGGATCTGTGCTGCACACTTCATATTGGGTGGCTTAACAGAGTGGCAGATAACTCATGAAATTAACCCTGTTTGTTCGCGCCACAGAGAGACTTGGAGAAATTGTACTGGGCTATGAGCAGGCAGGCAGCATATTTCTCATAACCTAATTGTTTCTCTGCAACCCTGGTTTAGTAAGTGATTAACTCTGTGTGTGGAGGCGGTGCTGGGTGTGTGGTGGGGTTGTACAGACAGAAGAAGCTGTGTTTATGTCTGTGTGAAGAGCTACGCATGTTGGTCACTGATTATTACATTATTTTTCTTCCAGAGAGCTCATGATGAGAAATCAATGATCCTCAATGTTCAGAACCCAGAGGTTTATGAGCCTGAGATTAATGGGCCAGAGGTTCAGGGGCCAAAACTTGAGGAGCTCAAGATTCAGAGATATGGAGTTCAGGAACCTGAGCCTAAAATTCAGGAGCCAGTGCCGAAGGTTCAGGGGCCCATGGGTCAGGAGCAGGAAGTAAGTAACAAGACCCACACGTCCTGCAGCTCAATGGTTGCAGCACTCGCCTCACAAGCGAGAGACCTGGGTTTGATTCCCGGCAGGACGAAATGTTGGGCAAGTTTCCTTACTCTACATGCCTCTGTTTACCTAGCAGTAAGTAGGTAAATCGATCCCGTGGACCACTCCATCTTCCTCCACCACCTCTCCTCTCACCTCAACCTTCATGGTTCTGTCCTTGAGTGGTTCAGGTCTTATCTCTCACACCATCTCCAATTTGTCTCCGCCAACAGTTTCTCTTCCAGCCCCCGCACAGTCTTGTGTGGAGTTCCTCAGGGCTCTGACCTCGGTCCCCTCCTCTTCAACTTCTACATGCTCCCCTTGGTGACATCATCCGCAGACATGGGGTCAACTTCCACATGTACGCGGATGACACCCAATTCCACCGTCGATTACAGGACAACTGACGTCCTGACAGACTGTCTGTCTGACATCAAGTCCTGGATGAGAGCCAACTTTCTACAACTGAAGGTCAGCAAGACCGAGGCCTTCCTGATTGCATACCTGCTGGGCTATATGACTGAGGCCCTCTGCATACCTGCTGGGCTTTACTTGGCTTTCGGTCACCCATATCCCACTGTTCACTGTAAAGGTGAAAGCTCTGTGCGAAGTGGTTGGGAAATTTCATGAATAAACTTGATTCCTATTTCTAAGCTCTCTCATCCTTTTTAATCCAGACAGGGTTAACAAGGGCACATGATTCAGAAGAAGGGCGCGAAAATGATCTTGGGGTACCTGATGCGCCAACGGATGTGCTTGTGACATTCACAAGCTATCCAGAAGTTGCAGAACTACCTGAAATTGTGGTAGTGCCCCTTAGGGCAACGAGCAAAGAGAAGACCCAAGGTACAGTTGAGGCCAAGACACTTAAAGCTACAAAATGCAAACGTCAAAGGACAGTGAAGCGTGAATTGACTAAACCTTCAGTCCACCCCCTGGCTGAGCATGAGGACAAGGATCAACCAGTCATAGTGAAAGATGAACCAGACAAAATAATTCGGGCCGCACTGGAAGAACTTGAAGTTGAAGAAAAGGCAGTAGAACAGAGGGTTTTAAAATGCAGGCCAAGAAACTCAGTAGAGCCAAAAAAGGTATGAGTGTCCAGAGAAGTTTTAGCAACTTTAAAATTTATATGACTCTTAAATAACCAATTAGTGCTATTCTCCTTGTGGGGTAGGTAAGCGGGGTGTGCTTAGAGCTTAACTGGCTCCAAGGTGATATGTTTGGCAATAGAATGTCAGAATCAAGACAACCCTCTGTGATGGACCTGGTAGTATAGTTCCTTAGTCAGGTGGGACCGCAGTATTCCAGGGTACTGCTGATGACAGCACAGCCAGCCTGGCTCATCAGCAGTACATGGAAAGACAGACCAGTCACTGGAGGCAGGGACTCCTTCCATGGGGGAGAGTGTGCATTCCATTCCAAGAAATATTGATGGAATTTCCATGTATAGATGGGATGGATGGAACTCTTTGGTTTGTATAATCTTAAACACGGTGATGGGTTTCCACATGTGTCAGAAACCCAGCTGACCCCCAATAATGTGATTCTGCCATGGACAATGTTCTTTTTTGTCTTACGCACACAGAACCATGTCTGATGTTCAATTAATTGAATAACAGCAGCAGATATGAAATGTAAATCATTTCATTTACTATGGCACCTTCATGTCGTAGTATACCACTGCCCCCTTCTCTACTGCAAATTGTGTGTTAGCTGATATCAGCCATGGTTCTACAATTAGCCTTAGCTCTTCTGAGTTAGGGAGGAAGCAGTCAGCCAGAGTCGCTGCTTCTAATCACTAACTTATTTCCCGCTCCTCCCCCTGGCCTGGTGGATGATGCGTAGATGTGGGTGTGGACGGGATCCAAGTTGGCTGTGTAAATTATTGTGTGTCAGCATGGCTCATTTGATAGCACTCTCGCCTCCTAAATCAGAAGGTTGTGGATTGAAGGCTTACATCAGGACTTGGAATCCGGGTAGTCTATGCTGTTGCTGAAGTGCAGTGCTGGGGTTGTGCTGCATTGTCAGAGGCGCTGTACTTGGGTTGAGATGCTAAACCGAGTCCTATCTGCCTATCCAGATGGACATTAAAGATTTCATGGCACTAGTTAAAAAGAGAAAGGAGTTTCTCCTAGTGTCCTTGCCAACAATCCCCTAAATAAAGTTAGTCATTCACTCCATGGCTATTTGGAACCAAGTTAGTTGTTGCATTTGCCCACAAAATACACACAGTTACACCACTTTATAGTATATCCTGTGAAGTGCTTTGAGACATTCGAACATCATGACAAAGTGCAATATCAAATGCAAGAATTATTGTTATTTGTGAATGACAATTTGTGGAGGACAACTGGCATTTGTGGAACCATATTCAATAGATACAGACTGAAAGAATTATAAAATGTTAAGATGTTTACAATTGTTGGGATAAGTTTGCACGCACAATAAATAGTGTTGTGTCTCCCAACATCACTCGTAAAAACAGCAGTATCTCCTCTCACATAAACTGCAGCTCACTTGTTTGGTTTAAGTGTTTTGAGGGAAGGGCAATTACATGAAAATATAGTCCATTGTTGCGACTAAACTGTTCCTTCTTCAATACAGAACCATTCACAAAGAAACACTGACTCGCTGCAAACAGGAATAATGACGTTTCCAGTAACAATGATTTCAGGCCCACAAACCGAACCTATGAGCTATGCAGCCAACACATCTACAGCCAGCTCATTTTATCCAGCAGGCAAGAACCAGTCCCATCCTGGGTTACAAGAATCCACCGAGAAGAAACAGCAACCTCAAAATACTGTGGAAACCAGAAAGGCATTTGGTTTCAGAAAAGATGAGCAAGCCGCTGTACACATCCTGCCGAAGGGTCTTGATCTGGATTCCCCTATAGCGGAGACAGATAGCATTGGAATTTTGATTCCCTCGGTGCTGAATGAACTGGAAGCAGAAGAGTGGAAAAAGAGCTTCAAATCGGAGAGAAAGATGCGTGGTTCTTCAAGAGAAAATCAAAAGGTATGGAGAATGGATGTGTTTGCTGAGAATTCTAGTAATATTAAATTCAACATTAGTCATGCTATTTCAGTAAGCACTATGGCTCCTGAGAAATGAATCTACCTTCTGACTTCTTTTGACAAATAATTTATATCCAGTAAGCAAACCCATTCCCATCCCTCTAGTCACCTGAGCCTGGCTCAGTGGATAGTACTAAGTTGTGTGCCAGCCTGGCTCAGTTGGTGGCCTTTGAGACAAAAGGTTGTAGGTTTAAGCCTTCATCTCATGTAGTCTAAGATGATACTTCAATACAATACTAGGAGTGCACTAGATTGTTAGTGCCATCCTTCAGAGAAAGACATTGAACCAAGTCCCATTCTGCCTGTTCAGGTGGGTGTTTAAGATCCAGTGGCACTACTTGAAAAGAGAGGGGAGATTCTCCTGGCCAACAATACCCCAGATACGTTTGGATATTCCCTTCACTGCTGTGCGCAAATTGGATGCCTTATTCGTCTATAAAATTCACAGTCACTAACTACATTTTATTGTAAGATTTTGTCAGGTAATAGGTATGAAGGCTATAGAGATGGCATTGCTCCAGTGTGGGCTATTGGAAAGCCAACTAGGGTTGAAGATTGAAGATGTAGGGATCAATAAATATTCTACAGCTTCCCTTATAAAAGATAATAATAATAATCCTTGAATTTTATATAGCGCATCTTCTAGATGTCTCAAAGCACTTCACAGAATATACTGTAAAGTGAACTGACTGTATGTTTTGTGAGCGAAATGCAGCAGCCAATTGTGCCCAGCAGTGCCCCACAAAACCAATTTTTTTTTTGAAGGGATTATTACTTCCAGAAAAGTGATCTTCCAATTGACTAATAACCAGGTTCCTACTTACTGCTATTTCATGAAATTAACTATTTGAATTAACATTCGTCTTCACAATAGGAAGCAGAATGTAATAAACGGGAAAAGGCCTTTCAGGGGAGGGTGACCAGTAGTGTTGTCCAACTGGATTGCTTGCTGTTTGCATTTTTCGTTTGAAATTTGGAGAGGAGCACTTTGTGTGTATGAAATTATGCCGTTTGACGTTCTGCAGAGCATCCAGTGTGTAGACAGATTGGCCATGCAAACCACTTCAGTGTCCACTGAAGAAAGACCTTAAAATTTGCACAGAAATCTCCAGACATAAATAATTGATTGCTGATGCTCTGCCATATACTAGATGTCATTGTCTTACCACACTAAAATAAAAACCCTAATGGAGCTCCTGTCCTGTTATTTATGGCTCAGTTAGTAAGACTTACGTGACTGTTTAGTTTACATTGTAAATTGGCAGTTTAGTTGAACCCTTGGGCTGTGATGAGGTGGCTGATCTTAAACATGAAAGGTGGAGAGCTGCTACAATTAGCCTCCATGCTCCTGGTCCAGAGAGTAGGAGGAAAAAGACAGCTGTCGGACAACACATGTTGTGAATGACAGGACAGGATTGTGTTTGGCAGAGATGGCCTCCACATTTCAGGAGCCCACTGGCCCTCACTTGTCTGTACTTGTAAATGAAGAATGGCCACCTAGGCAAGGTATAGAGGAGGGCCAGCACCCATATGTCTGAATGGGCCAGCACCTTCAGGAGAGGATTGAGGGAGAGGGGGGAAGTGAGGGAAGGAAAAATGTTAATTATTCCTCTTTTTAAAAAAAAGATGCATTGTTCAAAACGAAAATCAACGATTCGAAAATTAGTGGTTGCAGATCGACAGAAAAACATCTTGTGCTTCTTGCCGCCTGGCCGAAAGAAGATTACAAAAGAAGATTATCCAGTGGTTCTAATACAATCCAAGGAACAACAGACGACTCTTATCACAAGATCCAAAAAGGAGAGAGGAAAGTCGTGGAGTGAAGCCTGCCATGTAGCAAAATCTCAACATTCTCCAGACAAGAAGATTTTCAAGACCAATGTAGTCAGAACATCGGGGTCTTCCACAGGTGATCCACTGACTGTGCATGACCTTGATGTGGAATACCCTGCGGACAGCAAGTACAAACAGTTGGTGACTGCGGCACAGAAAGAGCTTGAAATGGAACAGCAGCAGGAGAGTGTGCAGCAACAAAGCGAGCAGGAAAGCGGGCAGGAGGTGAACCCCAACATCAGCAGGTCACACAAGGGGCAGGAGCAGAAGCCCCCATCATGAATGCAGATTCGAGATGAAGATGGGAAGTCTCATCAGTCATGTTCAACCCCATATGACATGGAGACTTGCTATGTTTTCCTCAAAACCACACAATGCAGCAGATGAAAGGAAAGTACACCATATATCTAAAGTTCTGCATGTATTTATACTCATATACAACCCTGCTTTACGTATTTGTAATAAATAAAGCTTAAGACTATTGTCCAGAGAACGCTTCAGTCTTGAACGCATTTATCGGTAATATTCAGTGAGCTCTCCTCACTCCACACAACACCTTGGGCCCCAGTGTATTCAAGTTCTGAAATTTCATTTGTCCTCATGTTCCACTGCAGATTAGAGAAAAGCATTCCAGAATGAGAAGTTGGCATGTAAACCAGATCGGATTGGTAGGGGGCCCTTCGACCCACTTTATCTTGTCCTTCACAGTATCTATCCGATCATCCTTGTAGCACAGCATTGAGCCGTTTTTTTAAATGGGTCCAATGTCCTGGCCTCAACCACCATTCTTAATAAACTGTTGCATTGTTAATTACCTCTGGGTAAAGAAATACATCATGGCACCTGTCCTGAAATTGTTCTTTGGAACCCTGAACCTGTACTTTTTCTGCCGTTTCATTGCATCTGAAAGTATTGTCTCAGTCCCATTTAAAATCTTGCTCATCTCTATAAGGTATTTTCTATTCTTACTTCCTATATGTAGTTAGTACCTTGCATTTATCTGTAGTGAACTTCATTTGTTCGTCATCATTCCACCTGAATACCTTATCAATCACTCTTTGTAAGACTGTTGCTACCTGCTGTGATTCCACAGTTCCCACAACTTGGTGTTATCTGCAAATGTAATTACCTTACATACCTCTGCAAATCCAGGTCATGAATACATAAAAGAAACCAGAAGGGGTCGCAGTATGAACTGAGGTGCCCTACTAATAACGACCCCTATTTTGACATAACTGCCTAACAATGATCCTCTACTTCCTACCCTTCAGATAATTTTGAATCCATGTATTGCAAGTGATACCCAATGACCTGTCCGTGAAGGAGTCTTTCATGTGTTGCTTTGTTAAATTCCTCTTGGAGGTCCAGATATACTATGTCACATAGCTTTCAACTAGGAATTTGGGTTGTTACCTCATCAAAAAAAGCTCAAGTTGGTCAGTCAACCTTCTGAACCTATGCTGCTGTCTTTGATTAGATTAATAGTATACAAGCAGCTTCCATTTTCTTTCTGATGGTTGTCTCCATCATTTTTCCAATTATTGAGGTCAGGTTAATGGGTCTATAATTGCTGTGTGTAGTTCTGTTACCTTTCATGAACATAGGATGGAGACAGTTGTGCGCCATTGGCTACCGTGTTTCACTACAAAACAGTCAACTAACTGCAGTGTATTGTGAGAAGCGCTTTGAGCATCTCGAAGATGTGATAAGGTGCTGTATCTGTAACATCAGCTTCACTTGTGTCAAAGTTCTGGAGCTCAAATGCTGCTTGCTGAATGTTGACAGGCATACTTTATAGTGTCCTCCTTAGTTAAAAACCTCCAAGAAATAGTAATTTATTATGTTCAATATCTTCTGCTCAATTTCTTTTGGGCCCTTTTTAATTCCCTTTGTGTTTTGACATTTTTCCTGAATACCAAATTAGGATATTGAAATAATGTTTTTGCATTTGCTGCTTTGTCCCTGCTTTATCCTTCAGTTTTTAGTACCCAGGTTTGGAATCCACATTGTTTAGTCACATTTCATAGTGGCCTTAATTATGTAAACTCTCCCCATTAATGTTGTAATAATAATCCTTACATTTGTTATAGGACTTTATTACATCTTCGAGACATCTCAAAGCGCTTCACAGAACGCACTGTTAAGTAAATTGACTGTATTTTGTGGGCGTAAAAAAGACCTTTACTGTAGATATATTCAAACCATTGTTTGGGCCATTATGTGGTCTGTGATACAAATGTATTCCATTATGTCTTCATTTTATTAACTGTCATGGGTGCTCACATAATAAATATAATGAACATTTTAATGTGGGATAAGATTAGAAAAGTAAAATTGGCAAACCTGGATCTAAATACACCCACATACTCAGTAAGAGTCCTGTAGCTCAGTGGTTAGAGCACTCGCTTTGCAAGTGAGAGACCTGGGTTCAATTCCAGGCAGAGGGCGAAACCTTGGGCAAGTTTCCTTACTCCACACGCCTAATAATAATCCCTCCAAAAAAAAAATAATAAAACTTGTCATTTTCAATCTACGACTGTTTGTGGGACATTGCTGGCTGTCGCGTTTGCCCACAAATATACAGTCAATTCACTTTACAGTATATTCTGTGAAGCGCTTTGGGACGTCCTCCCGACGTGAAAAGCATTATTATTATTATTATAATGTAGCATTGGTTGGAAAAACAACTGAAGGTTGAAATACTGCAAACATTTATATTTTATTCATTTAAGTATTTATTTTCAAATTGTGCTCCTCATACAGACATGATCTGCTGAAAATAGCAGCAAAGTAGTGTTGTTACCTGAAGAAACATGTTTTTTGATTTGTCCAGTTTAACCTGCACGCCAAGATAAAAGTTAGGTGAAACTCTTGCTCCATTCCCAATACATTCACTCCAACCACATTTTGTAATACTGCGTGCATTCCATGTTAAAATAGACTGAAGGCACTGTGGTATATATACTTGTAGTAACTGGTGAAAGCAAACAGTGCAAACACCTCTGGACTGTGCTCTCCTTCTCCCCATTTAACATATGGAAGCTATAAATGGCATAAAACATTTTACATTCTGTTTGGATGAGAGCTTTGAGAATATGGTTACTCTTCCCCCATTTTAAATGGAAACAAATAAAAATTGTATCATTCTACAGTTTGAGAGACATTTCCCCAATTCTCCATCTTCCCATATTCTGCAACTGGAGTTGAGGAGACATCTCTAGCTAACTTATCTTTCGGTTTCTTCTCTATTTTCCTCTCTATGCTCATCCACCCCTTTCCCAATAAGCTCAGGAGCACAACTTGTGGAGACGTACAGCTAAAAATCTTTCTAAGACATATCTCATCAATACACCAACACACTGCACCACTGGGCTGCCTAGTCCTTTCTTTAATAATACATCCAGACTGGTTATAACACTGTTCCTGCAAGAAAATAAAAGGGACACATTCTAAAAATATTACATTTGTACATATAGCCAGTTTGGGCACCTTGGCAAAGCTGAGATCCCACAGCACCATTCAAGGACATGTCTCAACACTTGAGTATAAAAATCACCACTTGTAATGGTGACATTGCTCCAAATGGGTACCACAATGAATTTGGATCAAGCTGGATAAACGACTGCTCTCAGTATACAGTGCTGAATTCCTGAAGTGCAAATCACGGGTGTTCAGTGACATGTAACTCATACAGTGAGTGGCCTAATTCTGTGCATCAGATTCTCTGGCTTGAATCACTTCTTGTATTGATACACCGGCAACAACTACAAAGCAAGTGGTTCCCATTTAACCAACTCAATCTTGTCCCAGCGCCCTGGAAAAGGCGCTGTATAAACGCAATGTTGTATTGTGCATGTATGTGTGTATATTTTGAAGGTGAGAGAAGAGGTTGGAAAAAAAAACAAAGAGATTTGGTTAAAAGTCCCAGTCATCGTCCAGTTCCTGCATGGGACTGATGGGAGCGTTTCCATTTTGCTGTGAAGTCTCTGCCGTGGCTCGAGCACTAGACAGGGGCATCGCTGGTAGAAGGAGATTCAGCAGCATTGCTCTGGTCTGTTTTTTCACCTACAGAAAAATAAAATTAAAGCTGAGAGCAAGGTTCGGCAACCTTCTCATAAGATTGTCTTTTCTTAAACTTCCTTTTAAACCTAATTTACCGTATGATGGTCTGAATCACCTGCACTGATGGTCTACACTTAATGCTTAAAGGAAACATAAGAAACAATCGCTTGTTTTGTGTGAATTGTTTTTAAAATGGAGAAATTCTATCCTGCCAAATGCAATATGTCCCTTATATTTGCTCACATCATTTACACCCCCATTGGAACCGAATGAAGCAATAATTAAGAGGAAATCAGAGGAAATAGAGGAATATTTTTGCTGTGTTGTAGTTTCTATATACAGTACTGGAATCACTGGTTCATAACCAAAAATGATTACGGCTCAACAGGAGGTGCCTGAATGGAGTTCAACGGTAGTGGCAATACTGATTACTGACTATACAATGTGGCACTTCCAACTTCCAGGTAAAATTCCAGTGTAGCCTGCACATTACCTTGGGGAACACTAACGTATGCTAAGACATATATATTGAGGTATGTACCCTGAATAAAAGCCAGGGATAAAACACCTACCTGTTTGAAGAATGAGTGATTTAACAAGGCCCTTGCTGTTGGTCTAGAACAGAAGAGAAGATTTAAAATTTCACATCAGAAGTTTACAGCTTGTATATCTTATAAAACACCAATAGTCAATCAGCAGCGAAGGGAATTTTTTGTGAAAAGCAGTGATTAGCTTGTGCAATAATCTAACAGCACTGGTGGCAGATTAAGAAGTTTGCAGCTTGAATAAAGATTCAGGTTATCAGGTGAGATCAATGCGTACAGACTGAAAAGAACAGTGTCCTGTGGAACATTTGCTGCTGAAGGATGCTGTCTACTTATGGAAATGTAATAAAATAGTAATAACTTGCATTTGATAAAGCGTCTTATCACGTCATCGAGGCGTCTCAAAGTGCTTCAGGGAATATACTGTAAATTCTAGTGACTGTTTTGTGGGTGAACCATCACAGCCAATTGTGCACAGTAGTGTCCCACAAACAGTCGTGGATTGAGTGACCAAATCATTATTTTTTTTAAGAAGGATTATTACCCACAGAAAGCAATCTGCCAATCGACAATCAAGCAGGTTCCTACTTACTGCTAGGTAAACAGAGGAGTGTGTGGAGTAAGGAAACTTGCCTTAGGTTTTGCCCTGCCCAGGAATCGAATCAATTCCGGGTCCTCTCGCTAGCGAGCCGAGTGCACTAACCATTATGCTATAGAACTCCATGTATGCATCTCTCTCTCTGCATGTGTGTGTCTCTCTCTCTCTCTCTGTAGAATGAGCTCTCTTTCCCTGGAGGGACACACACTGCTTACCCAAATACGGAAAGTATTAGGAACAACTTGGTGAGAGCCAAGTCTTGGGGACCCCAGTGTTCAATGGGATACTACTGGAGTTCAATCAGCTAAAACAGCATAGCTTGCCACTGAAAGCAGTGTCAGGCAAGCTTTCCAGCTGCTGCTTGTCCAGCTAGGACAAACTTACCCATTAGTGTTTTGGCTTGCAAGGTTAACAACAACAAGATGACATTTGTGTAGCACCTTTCACGTCAGGAGGATGTCCCAAGACGCTGGAGAAGTTGAGTGGGAAGACTCCCTGCTCACAGTAACTTGTCTGCCCTAAATCCTGCTGATGAGCTAAGCTGTCCTGCAGTGCCCTTGCTCAGGAACTGGATCCATTGTCAAACGAGTCACCTTGGAGCCAGCTCACTCCAAGGAGATCCTGCCAAATGATCTTCTTTTCCTGTTCTGTGGATTCTCTTTCTAATGCTGTACCAGAGGTAAGTTCTTCACTTCCGGTAAAAGCTGATGGAATAAAATTGGGTTCCTAAACTGCTAACTGTCTTTAGAAACTGGGGAGAAGGATACCATGTGCCTCCTGCAGCAGAGGTGTGGGGATCACATTAAAAACAGAGACTTTCTCTTAACGAAAATTTGGATTTTCAGATGGATTGGATGGATTGATGGATTCAGATGTTTGTTTTACAAACAGATGGATGTAAAACAAAAAACAAAAAAAGGCAACAGACCCACCGATTCTCCGGATGTCTCTGCAGACACTGCTCTACAAAGTTGTGAAAGTTTGCAGAGAGGTTTCTGCACATGGCACTCTGGGATTGTTCACTCGTGTTTGTTCTCATCATACTGCTGGTAGCAACACTCTCATCGATGCCGGAGTCCATGCCGGAGCAGGAGTTCTTCATCCTGAGTTCCCTTGGAGGAAAAGTGAGGTCCAACATGCACAAGGAGCCCTTCAACTTCTGGAGAAGCATCTGGGAAATATTAGAAGGATTAGGCAATCTGCTCCATCCCCTTACTTCAACTATAAATGCTGCACTTATGTATGTGTGTTCATTTCTTTTATCAAAGTGAGGGTTGTTAGAGCTAAACCCTTTTCCAGTTTCAGTTCCCCAAGTTCCCCAGCTGAATAGTAATGTTCCCTAGAGCAACATCAGAAGAGCTTCTAAAACGGTTCCATCCAGCATCCTTGGTGCCACGTTCGTGCCTGGTTGCCCACACAACCCTTGCAGAGAGATTATTATTATTAGATTATTATTGAGATTAGTGCCATCAATCTGGGCTAAATTCTAGTCTAGATCTCAGAATAGTTTAATCCACACAGATCCTGCAAAACCTTTTTATATTTGCTGGAATCTTTCACAATGTCATACATTGTGGCTCATACTAATGGCACTATTCTCCTGTATAGTACTTTGTTCTACAGGTAGTCAGACTATTTTCTTACATCTGTTGCAGCAACTAACCCTTCTTCCCAAGTTTGCATTTTTTTGCTGCGTTCTCAGACCCCAAGTGCCGTAGTATGGAACTCATTCCCTTCTATAGCCACACTGAAAGCATCAATAAAGCTCAGGTTGTATGTAGCATTGCTCTGATCAATGTTGAGCAACTCACCACTGAACAGTGACAGCAATCATAGGAAAGAACTTCACCTCGTGAGGAAAATTATCAACTTTCTCTGAACCATTTTGCATTTTATTAGCACCATTACTGTGAAAATGGATCAAAGCACTTTACAATTACTACGACATCAAATGTGCGGAGGTTCGGGTCAAAAGAGATTACCTGGGTAGGACGCATACCCTGAAAGGGAACCTGGCCTCTAGCCAGCTCGCATGCTGTAATCCCAAGACTGTAGATATCAGACTTCACATCATACCCGTGCAAATCCTAGTGTGGAAGGAAAGATGGGATTTTAAAAGCTAAAAGCTTTTAAAAGCTTGCTTCAGGATTTTAGAATTGTACCACGCAAGTTATTCATTTAACCCCCTCCTCTATCACTTCATTCCAATACTCTTATATTTTTATGTTACCAATATTTGTCTAATTCCCTTTTAAAAGCTCCATGGATTTTACTTCAAACACCATTTTTGTTGGAGCATTTCATTTCTTAATAACCTTTTGTATATAAACTTCACAACCTCTCTCTTGGTTTGCTTTGATAATTTTAATTTCATGTCCAGTCCTTGACAGACTGATCAGTGTAAATGCAGGGAACCTTTTTATAACACCCTTCAGTATAACACCCTTATGAGGTGGGCAACTAAGGTGACATTTTGAGACATTGAAACATGAAAATCCCAAGATTTCAGTAACACAAGAATAATGTTCCATGTTGAAAAAAATTGCAAGGAGCTGAAATTTACCTGTTGAAGAACTTCAGGGCTCAGCCATGGCAAAATAGAAGCACTGAACTCTGGAAAATTGTGAACAAACTTTGATCTTCGCCCCTCTGTTACCATGCTGCACAGACCATGGAGCCCAGAGAGGTAAACATGCCCATCCCCAGATATCAGAATATTGCTGGGTCTTACACTTCTGTTGAAGAGGAATTTGGAGGATAAAGTCACTTGTCAGACATAGGATTAAACTCTTATTTCAGCTTGAGCAATGAAAATAGATAATGCAAGCTTATCCCATTGGAGAACCACAGAGACAAACTATAGAAGAGAGTCAAATCACATGCATCATATTAATAAAAAAACATGTGTTGCCCAATTTCATTTCCACAGAATGAATAAGTGGCATTGTATTGGTCCATCACAAGAACTTCTGTCATAATAGGCATCCTTGCAATTTTAAACAGCACTTTATGACATCATCAAAACACCTCAAAGCACTTCAGTTTACTGTAAAGTGTAGTGACTGTATTTGTAGGTGACAGATCAGGAGGATGTTTATGCATCTCAAACCAACCATTATAAAATTAGGCCACTTCCAGTGAGTGCAATCAAAGGAAATAGGGTGAAACATTGCACCCTAGGGAGTACATTCTCCCCTTGCTGCAGCCACCATCAATTACCTTCTGTATTTCTCAGTTGTGCAGGAATGATGAAAAGGAGTGACATTTGTAGGACACTGCTGTGTGCAACTGGCTGCTGCGTTCACGCACAAAATATACTGTCAATTCACTTTACAGTGTATCCTGTGAAGTGCTTTGAGACGTCTCGAAGACATGATAAGGCGCTATATCAAATGCAATGATTATTATTACATCCTATTCAAATGTTTAAAAATCCAGTGAAAGGAGTGAGGATGAAAGTCTCCCTTTTTCCTGTGCTTGAATCAGCTTGGTAAGTTCCTGAGTGAAAAGGTGTCTCATTGCAATTCTGAGAACATAAGCTTCACCAGACAACAATATCAGCTACAACTGCTCTCAATAAATTGCTCAGTGAGGCAGCAGAGTGCAACTGCAGTTTAAATCCAGAAATGAGTCTGGAGGTGAAATAATGTACAGATTATGAAAAGCAATAATAACCCTTAAATTTGATAAAATGCCTTTCACGGCAGGAGGACATCCATATTTACTGTAAAGCGTAGTGACTGTTTTGTGGGCAAACAGCAGCCAAATTATCCCATGAACAGAACTGGTCTATATCTAGAATACAGCCTTGAAAATGCATTGGAATAAGGGAGAGGAATTCAAAGAGGGGAGAAACTGGCTTTTTAAAATAAAAGGTTTACAAATGTTAGGTAGTGTCATACTTGTCACTAACAAATGGTATCACTCACCTATGAATACATCGCATTTGGTGAATGTAATTCAGTGCCTTTATGACTCCATAAAGTATATGTGAAATAAGGCTTTCATTCATGCCTTCAGTAAAATACGACTTCAGGAGGCCCCTGGCAGAACCTACACAAGGACAGAAAGAAAAGGTCAAACTTCAGGGTAACCTTATTATAATGCGGTCCTCTGGATCCAACCTCAGTGGTTGTGTTAGAAACAAAGCCTGAAACAGTGGACGCCTTCGATGCCACAGAGCACACAGGAAGTATTAGCAACAACCTGACAGCTTGAAAGTTGACCACGTTTTAGCGCAGGAAGCTAACTCACTAACAGTGGCATTTGGGGGTACTGGATGCGTCCACTTAGTGCAGGTCCAAACAACACCAATGCTATAAACAGGTAGCATTATTACTAGGAGGGGCATGGAAGTGAGATAATGGTGTTCACCTGAATCAGCATTTTCTACAACTGTTAAGTGCTTTGCGTAGTGTGAAACTACCAGAAGTCACTGATGCAGCTCTTCTCTTACCATAGGCTGTGAATGGTGTGATGACCCACAGCTCACTGCCCTCAGTGAACACAGCTCTGTGCGGCAAGATGTTAGGGTGCCGGAACAGTCGCCAGAACAGTAGTTCATTCTGAAACCAAACCAGAATTTTCTTGCGAGTTGGTGTTGCACAAGAATATTGTGAACTTATTCGTCGAAAGAATAAGTCTTCCGTACATACCAAATAAACTCAAATTCATAAATTTCTTATTCCAATATCTCTAGCATAATCACTGAACACTACCAGGCAGCCTGCAGCATCAGGCCAGGCAGACCTAGAAGGTTGCAAATTTGAATCTTTGTCTGTGCTGAGAATATCTGATGTCAGCCAGGGCAGAGTTAAGGATGGGGTCAGTAAAAACTGGGCTCAGTGCCTGTGGTTTGGCAGAAATCTACCAAGGTTTCCACTCTGATTTCTAGGTGATTTCTTTCCAGGAAATGCACACGTGTTGATGTTGGGCAAAGACAGGATCAGGTTCGGCTGAGATGCTGTGTTATATTTAATATAGCACCTTTCATGTTTGTATGTAAGAGCACTTCACAGCATATACCGTAGAGTGTAACAACTAAGTATTTTATGGGTGAACACTGCAAACCAATTCACACACAGTGTCCCACAAACTGCCATTAAGTGACCAATATTATTGGGGGATTGTTAGCCAGCACCCCAGGAGAAACGCACTTTGCTTTTTGAATAGTGTCACAGGATCTTTAAAATCTACCTGATCAGGCATACGGGACCTCAATTTAACATCTTATCTGAAGGATGATATCTTAAACAATGCAGCACACGCCAGTACTGCTTTGAAGCGTCAGCCTGGGTATGTGAGTTCCAAGTCCTGATATAGGGCTTGAACTCTTTCCTTCTGACTGAGAGGAACTAACCTACCAGCATTCACTGTTTAGGTTCCCACACACAAAGGATGGCTCGGGTAAAGAAGTGAAAGGTAATCAGTGTTAGTGAAACCATACTCCAGCCTTTTGGAAAGAAAGTAAGTTGACAAAACAAATTACTCGTAAGATGAATGCAGTATTATTTTAGTTTAAAGGACTGATTTGCTTTACTGACCTGGAGCAAGGACAGATTCTCTTCTGAACAAATGTCCATGTTAGTCTGTTTAACAACCACCATGTTTCCCGATGGAATGTGCCTCGCCAGGGTCATTCTGGTTCGGTTACAAAAAGTCTTACCTAGTACAAAATGAAATAGTAAAATATATGCATAGATGTGCACACATACAATCAAGACAGCAATACATTATTTACAGACAGAGATTCCCCAGAGAAAAGAGACTTTGAAATGTAACACGAAGAATCCATATCACTGTTATCACTCTCACCAGAAAAATATTTTTACCTAGTTCAGAAAGAAGCTCATAGTGACTGGCACTGGCTGTGTATATCATCTCTGCATCTCTGACTGCATAGGTTGAAAATTCATCACTCTGTGAAGGGGACAGAAGTCAATTTATTGAATGTACACCTCATTCTATTCTCAAACAAAAGGCAAAAAATGGACACACTCCTCCAGCTGGTTTGCTACAAACAGCATTAAACTCTCTGTTTTGATACTGGCCAATTCCAGAAAAGCAAAACTAGAGGACTGCACCGAATAAACACAACTCTTGTCACAATGCGTTGTGACTCCCAAGCAAACGCCGTAACTCAATCATGTCTGAGATGCTCTGTAGTTACTGTACACGTCTCTCATATCCATAAGTTTCCCATATCTACATTGGTTTTCTTTCATTGCATAGAAACAGGAGTAGGCCATTCAGCCCCTTGAACTTGTTCCGCCATTCTATAAGATCATGGCTGATCTGTACCTCAAGTCCAATTATCCGCCCTTGTCCCGTATCTCTTAGTACCCTGACCTAACAAATTTCCACCTCAGCATTGAAGATGTGAATGGATCCAGCATCCACAACCTCTTGGGGGAGAGTTTCAGATTACCCTTTCAGTGGAAAACTGCCTCCTAATTTCACTCCCGAATGGCCTAGTTCTAATTTTAAGATTATGCCCCCTTGTTCTGGATTCCCCCACCAGAGGAAATAGTTTCTCTGTATCAATCTCTCAAATATCTTAATTATTTTAATCTCCCCAATTAGATCACCCCTCAACCTTCTAAACTCAAGGGAATATAGACCAAGTTTATGCAAACTGTCCTAATTTAAATATTTTAGTTAACTCTGGTATAATTCTGGTGAATCAGGCCAAACCTGAACGCAGTACTCCAGATGAGATCTGACCTAAGACTCTATACAGTTGAAACATCATTTCCTCTCCTTTATATTCCAGTCCCCTTGAGATAAAGTACTCAGGGGGGGTGGGGGGTGAAGAGAGATCATCAGAATAGGAGGAGGCCATTTGGCCTGTCAAGCTCAAGGCTGAATTTTAGCATCAACATCACTGACCTGCCTCTCAAGCAGTCACTGGAGGCAAAGAATCCTCCTACGCATTCTGCTCCTGTTAACCCTGCAAGCCAAAGTTGTAACTCATGGGTAGGGTGGTCCTAGCTGGACAAGTGGCGGGAAAGCTTGCCAGACAGTGGTCTCAATGGCAAGCGGTAGTGGGATTCCTGTAGCTCCATGGATAGAGCACTCGCCTCGCAAGTGAGAGACCTGAATTCAATGCCCTGCAGGGTAAAATGTTGGGCACGTTTTCTTACTCCTCTGTTTATCTAGCAGTAAGTAGGAACCTGATTGTTAGTTTATTGGCACATCACTTTTCCACAGGTAAACAAATCCTTCAAAAAAATAATAAATTGGTCACTCAATCCACAACTGTTTGACGGACGTCGCTGTGCCTGTTTTGCCCACAAAATATACAGTCAATTCACTTTACTGTGTATCCTGTGAAGCGCTTTGAGACGCCTCGAAGACATGATAAGGTGCACGATCAAATGCAAGGATCGTCATCATTATAAAAGCGAACATCCCATTGGCCTTTTTGATAACTTTTTATACCTGTGAGTTTGTTTTTAGTGATTTGTGACACCCGAATCCCTTTTCTCTTCCAGTTTTTAGTTTCTCATTATTTAGAAATATTCTCTTTTGCTATTTTTGGATCCAAAGTGGATGACCTCACACTTCCCCACATTGAATTCCAATTGCATCTGCAATGTGAGGGCTGGAGAAAAAGTGGAGGGCAGAGACAAACAGCCAAGCTTCCAATCTTGAATGTTGTTCTGTGATTTTTATTGGATTGTGCATGGTTGTAGACACCGGGGAAGGGCCGAGATGGCTGCAATTTCCATACAAACACCCGCCCAACAATCTACTCATCCTCACTATTGCAAGTGGCATGCTAAGAATTGGTACCTGGATGAGGTATTGCAAGGGCTGCTGACTCATGGAGGACAGTCCAGAGAAATGATTCTCCAATTGGCTGCAATCCAGGGTAATACGATTCTATCCAGAATGCACTCAGTACAGTATATCTGAGATCCCCTCACATTTTCTTCCTATGCCAAGTTTTCTTCTCTTCCCTACTGAGACCAGACCTGTGATGTAATTTCACAGGCACCAGTGTTATCAGGTACTTTGACCAAGTTTAACCCAATCCCTTCTTCATCAGACATCCACAGGACTGGGTAGGAACCAGGAGTGAAAGCTGGTGATTCATTCCTGTGGAACACCAAGTGCAGCTGCGACCTGAGTCCAGGGATTGAATTTCTTGGTCACAGTGCATTTACCAGTCTCCTCACATTTTACATCAAGAATCGGGCATGGTTTTCAATACAGAGCATTCACGGTAACCATGTATCACAAAAGTAGGAGGGAGGCTTGCAGACTGGTACGTGCACAACAACAAATTACACTTGTATAGCACCCTTCATGGCGGAAAGATGTCCCAGGAAGCTGGATAGTCAGGGATTTTTGGACCGCTGACAGCCTGGTAACTAACTCCACTGGGTCATATTAATGTCTAAGCATGCTGCTATGGCTGCCTGTAATGGTAATTTTAACTCAAAACTACAACTTACAAGATGCAAATGGTCTGGTTGGCCCACATTGTCAATTGATTCTATTGTCGTCCGGGAAAGGCAGTAACAGTCCTTGAAACAGAAAATGAGCACAATGAGAACCAATGGAAACATCAGAGGTGGGCTTGAAAAAACAGATTTGTTTTTGCTGGAATAGAAAGGATTTAGAGAAGATGATAAATAGTGGAAGCGTATTCTCACTGGTAGTAAATCAGTAATGAGGCATAAACTCGGGAATGTTATTGGAGCAGGCAGGAGTAGAGTTTGGAGAAAGTTTTAATGAGAATAAGATATTTTTAATGTGAATATTTATCAACTTACCAGAAAAGACATGGAAGCTTCAAATTCTCCTGGTTATTCACATGAGGACAGCAAAACTGAAAATTAGAAGTATAGATGTAAAGAGCCTTTCTCCTTATTCCCTGGCTTTCTATATGAAAGGGCTTTGGACAAACTCCCACAGACTGATTCACTGAAGGAAGAGTCTACATACGAATTCAGGCTGCTTCTGTGACAACCGTTTCTAACGCATGAAACACAGTAAAGAAATTTTAGTTACGACCAATACAATATGTGAATTAATTGTTCTCTTCCCACTGGCCCTTCAACTTTAGAATCAGATCCAGGCCAATCAAATGCAAGTCTCATCTCTTTTTCTCATCTATATTTTTTGGGACAGGAGAAACAAAAGTGTCCTTTTTGAAATGAGTTTCCAGCAGTCTCATTCTAGTTAGTCATAATTTTCCAAAGCTCTCTATATTCGGGAATTGTGCCCTTTGATTAGAAAATTGCAAATGTCACTCCATCATTTAAGAAGGGAGGAAGGAGAAGCAAGTTAACTACAGACTTGTCAGCTTAACTTCAGTTGTGGGGAAATTACTGGAATCTCTCGTCAGAGACAGAGTGACTGAGCATTTGGATAAGTATGAGCTAATCCGAGAGGGTCAGCGTGGAATTGTAATGGGTAAGTCATATACGCAAATCAAATTGAATTTTTTGAGGAGGTCACTAACATGGTGGATATGAGAGTGTTTAGAGATGTCATCTATATGGACTTTCTGAAGGTATTTGATTAGGTTCTGCACAAGAGGTTATTAATAAAATGAAAGCACATAGAATCAGAGGTAACCTTGTGATGTGGCTCAGTAACTGGTTGGGAGGCAAGAAACAGAGAGTAGGGATAAAGGGAACATTCTCTAATTGGCGGGACACGACAAATAGCATTCCCCAGGGGTCTGTACTGGGGCCTCAGCTTTTCATCATAAAAAAATGACTTGGATGAAGGAATAGAGTTTTATATCCAAATTTGTTGATGATACAAAGTTAGGAGGCACAGTAAATTGTGCAGATGGGAGCAGGAAGTAACGAAGGGACTTAAGACAGATTAAGTGAGTGGGCAAATGAGGCAGATAGAGTTCAATGTGGGGAAGTGTGAGGTCATCCACTATGGATCCAAAAAACAAAGTGGTCAAAAGCATGGTCGTGGAGGAGGTCTTGAGATGGGTCTTGAAGAAGTCAAGGGAGGGGGCTACCTGCGATGTGAGACAGTGGTGGAGCCGGGCGATGTTGCGGAAATGGGGGAAGTTAGAGCTGGTCATGGCACAAGTGTGGGGTAGAAAGAATAGTTGAGGGTCAAACAAGATGCCATGGTTCCAGACTGGCTTAACAAGGAGTGTGCATCCATGGATGGTGAAGCTGTCAGGGCCTGAGCCGTGGAGGCGCCAATCAGGAGAGCCTCAGCCTAGTTGATGTTCAACTGAAGAAAGTTAGCTCTCATCCAGGATATGATGTCTGACAGACATTCTGTCAGGACAGTAGTGGTCCTGGAGTCAACGGTTGAGGCAGAGAGGTACAGCTGGGTGTCATCCAACATCAGGTTGACTCCATATTTGCAGATGATGTCACCAAGAGCGAGCATATAGATATTGAAGAGGAGGGGGACAAAGGACAGAGCCCTGAGGAATGTTGCATGATTGGAGATAAGAAATTTATGAGCTAAGCCATTGAGGAGTGAAATCAGGAATGCTTTCATTTCACACAAACGGTAGTGGAGATCTGGAACTCTCTGTCTCCTAAAAGACTGTGCATACTGGATCCATTCAAATTTTCAAGACTGAGGTGGATAGATTTTTGTTAGGTATCAAGGGATGTGGGGCAAAGGCGGGTAACTGAGGTTGAGATACAGATAGACCATGATCTAATAGAAAGGTGAAACAGGATATTCCTGTTATATCTAATAAAATATATACAATAATATTATATAATAATCCTGATCTTATGTTGCTATAACTCTTACACCATAAAAGATGCGAGATCTATATAAATGGATATTTTTACAAATCTGGCCTACGTTTCACTCTGAGCTATTAATTGTTTTAAAAAATCTGTACTGTCCACATGTTCTCCATAACGTAATTCACACGCTGCTCAGACAGGAGCACTCTGGGACGCTACCCCGCATGAAGGACGCTAAATGCAAGTTGCCATTGCAGACTTTCGTCTTTGAAATAATTTGAGGTGTTCTGCAGTTTTATGTTCAGAGATTTGAATGAAGAAAGAAAGCCCTTTTCACTACCCTCCCACATGACAGCATTACTGAAGACACACAAGCCTTCATCACATCCAGGCTGGACTCCTCTTGCCCTGCCCACAGGGCTTCCCAGTTCCTCCCCACATAGGCTGCAGACCATCCAGAACTCTGCAGCCCGTTTCCTCTCCCCCACCAGGTTATCGCCCCCATCCCCACTTGGCTGCACGACCCCCAGTCACTTGAATTCAAAATCCTTGCCTTCCTGTTCAAATGCCTCCACAAGTCTCATCCCCATTTTATCTGTGGGACCACCTGCAACCCGACTAACGCGGCTACCCGGAGAACACCGGCCTCCTTCATGCCCACTGCCCTCTCTGCCCCCACCACAGGTGGGCGAGCTTTCTGTCAGCCGTTCGGCCCTGCTCTCCGGAACTCCATGGCTGAGCGCCGGGCCCGGGGAGGAGTGGCGGTCGGGGCAATGGTGGCAACAACCGAGCGCGGCTTTTCTCTCTCCTTCCCGGCCTCGGGAAGAACGTCCCAAGCCGTGTCGCCGGCTCTCCCATCTCATTCGACCGTGTGGGTGTCTCTCTCTCACCTTCGCCGGACTCCTTCTTCTCGCACTGTCTCCTCAGGGGGCCGCCATCTTACTGCCCGGAACCAACGCACAGCGCCAGCAGCTGCTCTCACTCCTCCCTCTAACTCCTCGCAGTCGCCCCTTCTGATTTGATGACAAGAGACTCTCCGGAGAGTGAACCGCTTCTTATCTTAGTCACCCAAAGGTCTCGATAGACCCGCCTCCAGGTATCAATCCTATTTATTCTGCGATAGTAAACTGAAGCCGGAGGGGAAAAGTGGTTGCACCAGGAGGTGGGCGGTGTGTGCGTGTGCGCTGGTGTTTTGGTTCCGCCGCTGAGTGCTCTGGTTGCCTGGTAACGGGGGGGAGGGGGGAGAAGCGGCTTCTGTCAGTGACACAACAACAACAACAAAGGTGCAGAGGGAGAGAATAGAAACTGTTTGTAATGATAATTCTTGCATTTGGTATCACGCTTTATCACAGCGGAAGGCCGTCTCAAGTCGCTTCGCAGAAATTACTGTAATCCTTTTTAACACAAAAAAAGGAATCACTAAATAGCTAAGAGGAATTTTAAAGCAAATTATTTTTCCCTGAGGGTACAATATTGACTATAATAGTGCAAACCCTGGCCTGTCCAGCCGCTTGGGATGTCCATCCGACATGAAAGGTGCTATATTAATGTAAATGGTATGACTTGTAAAATAATCTTAGTGTTTGATGCAGCACCCACAACATCAAAACGTCTCTAATCGCCTTGCGGTCTCTTTACTGTCAGGTGTAATGACTGTTTATTTGCAACGAACATGGCAGCCGATTGAACGGCAGCGTCCCTCGAATGGCCTGAGGAACAGCTTGATGGTGCAGTGGAAAGATGGTAGGACTGGTATTCAAGGAAGGATGAGATCAAATGAGATCATCCCAACCTCTCGTGAGCTTGTGAAGCCAAAGAAATGATCAAGTGATTGATTTCTGCTATGTAGCTGCTTAAGAAAGAATTAAATATGTGGAAAATTTTAAAAAGGTGGCAAGATGATTCTAGAGATAGTCTTCTGACGTGTAAAAATCAGTCGAGTCAATAAAGTCAATGCTTATTACACAATAGTCAATACTTTCAAATGGTGGATCACTTTCCCAATCCAAAAATTAGATAATAATAATGTGATCATTCAATCCACATCTGTTTATGGGACACTGCTGTGTGCAACTGGTTGCCATGTTTCGCCTAAAAAATATACAGTCACTCCACCTTACAATATATTCTGTGAAGCGCTTTGAGACGTCACAATTACATTTTAAGATGCTATATCAAATGCAAGGATTATTTTATTATTATTACAGCTACTTGGCAAGTTTATAATAGTAGTAACCCTCGCATTTGATACAGTGCCTTATCACATTATCAAAAAGATCCACAAAATTTATGGCAAGATAAAAGTGCAATGTTTTTGCACACAGGAATGTCTTAGAAACAATCATAAAATGAGTGACCAGTTTTATCTGGGGCATTGTCAACCAAGACACAGGGTGACACTCTCTTCTCAAATAGTACCATGGGATCTCTAACATCCATTTCCACACCTCAGTCTAAATTTCTCATCCAAAAGAATGATCGTTCTGATCCCCCAGCACTGCATTGGAGCTTTGGATTCTGTGAGTTTAAAGTTCTGATGTGGGACTTGAACCCACAACTTGTTAACTCAGAGGGGAGAGTGGTACTGTAACAAATTCAGGAGAAGACAACCAATTGGTTGTGTAATATTCCAAAGTTTTTTAAGCAAGTAATACAAATAGCATCAAGTCGAACAGATTAGCTTAACATGCTTCAAACTGAGACAATAGTTACAGTAAAATCGATATTATTCGATTCCACCAGGAAACTCTTCGATGACTCCGCTTTTCCAAACATTACTTCTTACTTCTCTTCAACCGTGCCTTCAGCTCCCCTCTCGACTCTCTACCCCCTCCTCGCTCCCTCCCTTCCCTCCCCTCGCCCTGACCATTTCTCCCCTGCTCGGGTCCCGACCCAACTGTCCAGTGCTTTGGGACGTCCTCTCAACGTGAAAGGCGCTCTATAAATGCAATCTTGTTGTTGTTGTTCTTTTATGTGTTTTTAACTCCGCCTTCCTTGGTTTGCTTCACAAGCCTCCCTACCTTTGTCTCTGGTTTTCCTCTTATCGTGCTCAAAGACGTGATTACTCAGACCTCAAGATAGGAGGACATGAAATCAGAACAAAAAGGAGACGACCAAGGAATGCAATGTTATCAGAAACTGACCTCAATTTGGTCAAGCCAATATATGTTCTGCTGTCACAACCCTCTCAAGGGCCCTAAACTAGTCATTTGAGATGAACAATCCCATCATGCTTTACGAGATTAGTTGGCCATACCATGAAGGATTATGATAGGTAGGTTACATTCTAAAAGTATATAAAGATTAATTATTAAGCCTTAAAAACAGTAAGCTTTGCAAATATAATCTTACAGTACCAACCGAGCCAAGCTGATACCTGGCATTTTGAATAAAAGGAAAATATCACATGGGCCTGGGAAGTCTATTTTATCACAGAGTATAATGTGCTGATTGAAACCTGCACTTAGAAACTATTTTAGGTGTATGTTTTACAATAAATTAATTAATATTTCTGAAGGAAAATTGTAACTAATGAAATTCCTTCATAACTTAAATGTTATAAGATTAGATTTTTGTACACTCACCAGTGTCTGTCACTACGTAAGTTTACTATGAAGTGTAGTGACAGTGAACATTTGTAGGCAAACATGGGAGTAAATTTGCACAAAGCAATGCCTCACAAATAGAATGACTAATTTTATTTGGGGGATTGTTGGTCACCAGGTCACCTGTATCTATTCGATTGGTGCCATTGGATCTATAGTGTCCATCCTAACAGGCAGACAGGACCTCGGTTTAATATCTATCTGAAGGATGGCATCTCCAACAATGCAAGTACTGCCACAACAGCAATAATAGTAATCCATGCATTTGATAGCATGCCATTCATGGGAGGACGTCTCAAAGCATATCAGTATTCTGGTCAGCAATGCCCCAAATAAAATTGGTCACTCACTCCATGGCTGTTTGTGGGACATTGCTGTGTGCAATTGGCTGCTGCGTTTTGCCCACAAAATACACCGTCAAAACCACTTTACAAAACCACTTCTGTGAAGCTCTGAGATGTATAAATGACCTGGACTTAGATATAGGGAGTACAATTTCCAAGTTTGCAGATCATACTAAGCTAGGAAAAGTAGTGAACAGTGAGGAGGATAGTAGCAGACTGCAAGAGGACATAGATAGACTGGTAAAATGGGCAGACACGTGGCAGATGAAGTTTAATGTGAAGAAATAGAAGAGATGCATTTTGGGAGGAAGAATGAGGAGAGGCTATATAAGCTGCTAATAATAATAATAATAATCCTGGCATTTGATATAGCGCTTTTCACATCGGGAGGACGTCCCAAAGCGCTTCACAGAATACACTGTAAAGTGAATTAACTGTATATTTGTGGGCGAACGCGGCAGCCAATTGCGCACAGCAATGTCCCACAAACAGTCGTAGATTGAAAATGACCAATTTATTATTGTTTTTTGGGGTTTTGGAGGGATTATGATGATACAATCTTAACTGAGAAACTGGGGGTTCACATAAGTAAATCTTTTAAGGTGGCAGAACTGGTAGATAAAACTGTTAAAAAGCATACAGTATACTAGGCTTTATAAATAAGGGCATAGAATCCGAAAGTCAGGAAGTTATGATGAACCTTTATAAAACACTGGTTAGGCCTCAGCTAGAGCACTGTGTTCAGTTCTGAGCACCACACTTTAGGAAGGATGTCAAGGCATTGGAGAGGGTGCAATGAAGATTTACCAGGATAGTACTGGGAATGAGAGACTTCAGTTGTCAGGAGAGGCTGGAGAAGCTGGGATTGTTCTCCTTGGAGCAGAGAGGATTGAGAGGAGACTTGGTAGAGGTTTTCAAAATTATGAGGGGAAAGGTGGGGTGAAAAGTGGATGGGTCGGTGTCTCAGGGACACCGATTTGCAGGGGTTGTAAAATCAGTTGAGATATAATCATTAACATGGCAGTCACAGTGATTGTGTTATTCAATCATTAACATGGCAGTCACAGTGATTGTGTTATTCAAGGTGTTAATTTACTTCTAATACATCAGTGGACTCAATGGCTATTCTCAGATATTTCCCAGATAAAACCATCAACACTCCTTGATATAACAAAACATTCGATTTGTCAATAATGAATAAGGTGTTGCTGGGAACACTCAGCAGGTCAGGCAGAATCTAAGGAGAAAGAAAAGTGAGTCAACGTTTCGGGTCCATGACTCTTTGCCAGATTTGGACCGACGAAGGGTCTTGGACCCGAAACATTAATTCACTTTCCTTTCTCCAAAGATGCTGCTGACCCGCTGAGTGTTCCCAGTGACTTCTGTTTTGTTTCAGATTTCCAGCATCTGCAGTATTTTGCGTTTTGTTTAAACATAAAGCCAAACCTTTGTTTGATTGCTCAACACTGAACCATGAGGATGCATTTAGCAAACAAGGCAATACTTTGCATCCCTACCATATTACCCTGGCAAAAATGGTCTCGGCTGATCTTGCATCATTCTATCCTGTATGAAGGGAGCTATATAAATGAAAATTAAAGAGCAGCTCTTTGGGATGGAGTAAGGAAATTTAAAATGTTTACATTTTGAGAATACTGCAATTACATTTCATTGATTCCTTTTTTTGCGCTGAGACACTACTCCACACGAGGGGGGTGGGGGGTAGATAAATGCAAGATTTTTGTTGTGTTTATTTCAGTCGACAAATACATGGTGGTAAAACAATACAGTAAATCCAGTGAAGTGCTTTGAAATTCCCTCCTGATATAAAAGGTACTGTATCAAATACAATGATTATTTTAGGCGCTGCATAAAATACAATGATTATTAACGCACACAAAGTGTTTGCGCTGGAGACTGAATCACTTTCCTCAGGCATTGGGGGAATTGCAGTTAACAGTCCTTTGCAGCAGCTTTGGCATTCCCACGTTAACATTCCTTGAACATATTCA